CCCACTCGCTGTGTGTGCCATGGGTATCTATGGGTGTCTATGGGGATCCATGGTTATCTTATGTGTATCTAGGGGTACCCATGTGGTACCTGTGTGGTGCCCACACGTGCTGTGTGTGCTATGGGTATCTCTGGATGTCCATGCGTGACTGTGGGGTGCCCATGCATGCTGTGTGCGCTATGGGGCATCTATGGGGTGTCTATGTGTGTCTGTGGGTATCTGTGGGTGTCCATGGGTACCCAGGTGGTGTCCATGGGGTGCCCACGCACTGTGTGTGTCTATGTGTATCTATATGTATCTATGTGTGTCTATGGGTACCCATGTGGTACCCACGCGTGCTGTGTGTGCTATGGGTATCCATGGTTACCTGTGTGATTCCATGTGTACCTATGTGGTACCCATGTGATGCCCACGTGAGCTGTGTGTGCTATGGGTATCCATAGTTATCTATGTGCATCCATGTGTACCTATGTGGTACCCATGTGGTACCCATGTGATGCCCACGTGCGCTATGTGTGCTATGGGTATCCATGGTTACCTGTGTGCATCCATGTGTACCTATGTGGTACCCATGTGGTACCCACATGTGCTGTGTGTGCTATGGGTATCCATGGTTACCTGTGTGCATCCATGTGTACCTATGTGGTACACATGTGGTACCCACGCGTGCTGTGTGTGCTATGGGTATCCATGGTTATCTATGTGCATCCATGTGTACCTATGTGGTACACATGTGGTACCCACGTGTGCTGTGTGTGCTATGGGTATCCATGGTTATCTATGTGCATCCATGTGTACCTATGTGGTACCCATGTGGTACCCATGTGATGCCCACGTGAGCTGTGTGTGCTATGGGTATCCATGGTTACCTATGTGCATCCATGTGTACCTATGTGGCACCCATGTGGTACCCACATGCGCTGTGTGTGCTATGGGTATCCATGGTTCCCTGTGTGCATCCATGTGCACCTATGTGGTACCCATGTGGTACCCATGTGATGCCCACGTGCGCTGTGTGTGCTATGGGTATCCATGGTTACCTATGTGCATCCATGTGTACCTATGTGGCACCCATGTGGTACCCGTGTGGTACCCACGTGTGCTGTGTGTGCTATGGGTATCCATGGTTACCTGTGTGCATCCATGTGTACCTATGTGGTACCCATGTCGTACCCATGTGATGCCCACGTGCACTATGTGTGCTATGGGTATCCATGGTTACCTGTGTGCATCCATGTGTACCTATGTGGTACCCATGTCGTACCCATGTGATGCCCACGTGCGCTATGTGTGCTATGGGTATCCATGGTTACCTGTGTGCATCCATGTGTACCTATGTGGTACCCATGTGGTACCCATGTGATGCCCACGTGCACTATGTGTGCTATGGGTATCCATGGTTACCTGTGTGCATCCATGTGTACCTATGTGGTACCCATGTGGTACCCACATGTGCTGTGTGTGCTATGGGTATCCATGGTTACCTGTGCATCCATGTGTACCTATGTGGTACCCATGTCGTACCCATGTGATGCCCACGCGTGCTGTGTGTGCTATAGGTATCCATGGTTACCTGCGTGCATCCATGTGTACCTATGTGGTACCCATGTGGCACCCATGTGATGCCCACGTGAGCTGTGTGTGCTATGGGTATCCATGGTTATCTATGTGCATCCATGTGTACCTATGTGGTACCCATGTGGTACCCATGTGATGGCCACGTGAGCTGTGTGTGTTATGGGTATCCATGGTTACCTGTGTGCATCCATGTGTACGTATGTGGTACCCATGTGGTACCCACGTGGCGCTGTGTGTGCTATGGGTATCCATGGTTACCTGTGTGCATCCATGTGTACGTATGTGGTACCCATGTCGTACCCATGTGATGCCCACGTTTGCTGTGTGTGCTATGGGTATCCATGGTTACCTACGTGCATCCATGTGTACCTATGTGGTACTCATGTCGTACCCATGTGATGCCCACGTGAGCTTTGTGTGCTATGGGTATCCATGGTTACCTACGTGCATCCATGTGTACCTATGTGGTACTCATGTCGTACCCATGTGATGCCCACGTGTGCTGTGTGTGCTATGGGTATCCATAGTTACCTATGTGCATCCATGTGTACCTATGTGGTACCCATGTGGTACCCACGTGTGCTGTGTGTGCTATGGGTATCCATGGTTACCTATGTGCATCCATGTGTACCTATGTGGTACACATGTGGTACCCATGTGATGCCCACGTGAGCTGTGTGTGCTATGGGTATCCATGGTTATCTATGTGCATCCATGCATACCTATGTAGTACCCATGTAGTACCCATGTGATGCCCACGTGAGCTGTGTGTACTATGGGTATCCATGGTTACCTGTGTGCCTCCATGTGTACCTATGTGGTACCCATGGGATGCCCATGTGATGCCCACGTGCACTGTGTGTGTCTATGGGATACCCATGTGGTGCCTATGTGCTGTGTGTGTCTATGTGTATCTATGTGTACACATGTAGTACCCATGTGATGCCCACGTGCTGTGTGTGTCTATGGGTACCCATGTGGTGCCTATGCACTCTGTGTGTCTGTGTATCTATGTGTATCCATGTGGTACCCGTGTGATGCTCATGCTGTGTGTGTCTGTGTGTATCTATGTGTATCCATGTGGTACCCATGTGATGCTCGTGCTGTGTGTGTCTATGTGTATCTATGTGTACACATGTGGTACCGATGTGATGCTCATGCTGTGTGTGTCTGTGTGTATCCATGTGTACACATGTGGTACCCATGTGATGCCCATGCTGTGTGTGTCTGTGTGTATCTGTGTGTACACATGTGGCACCCATGTGATGCTCATGCTGTGTGTGTCTGTGTGTATCTATATGTACACATGTGGTACCCATGTGATGCTCATGCTGTGTGTGTCTGTATCTGTGTGTATCCATGTGGTACCCATGTGATGCTGTGTCTGTGTGTATCTATGTGTATCCATGTGGTACCCGTGTGATGCTCATGCTGTGTATGTCTATGTGTATCTATGTGTACACATGCGGTACCCATGTGATGCTCATGCTGTGTGTGTCTGTGTGTATCCATGTGTACACATGTGGTACCCATGTGATGCTGTGTGTGTCTATGTGTATCTATATGTACACATGTGGTACCCATGTGATGCTCATGTTGTGTGTGTCTGTGTGTATCTGTGTGTATCCATGTGGTACCCATGTGATGCTCATGCTGTGTCCATGTGTACACATGTGGTACCCATGTGATGCTGTGTGTGTCTATGTGTATCTATATGTACACATGTGGTACCCATGTGATGCTCATGCTGTGTGTGTCTGTGTGTATCTATGTGTACACATGTGGTACCCATGTGATGCTGTGTGTGTCTGTGTGTATCCATGTGTACACATGCGGTACCCATGTGATGCTCATGCTGTGTGTGTCTGTGTGTATCCATGTGTACACATGTGGTACCCATGTGATGCTGTGTGTGTCTATGTGTATCTATATGTACACATGTGGTACCCATGTGATGCTCATGCTGTGTGTGTCTGTGTGTATCTGTGTGTATCCATGTGGTACCCATGTGATGCTCATGCTGTGTGTGTCTGTGTGTATCTATGTGTACACATGTGGTACCCATGTGATGCTGTGTGTGTCTGTGTGTATCTATGTGTATCCATGTGGTACCCATGTGATGCTCATGATGTGTATGTCTATGTGTATCTATGTGTACCCATGTGGTACCCATGTGATGCTCATGCTGTGTGTGTCTGTGTGTATCTATGTGTACACATGTGGTACCCATGTGATGCTCATGCTGTGTCTATGTGTACCCATGTGTACCCATGTGACGCCCGTGCACTATGTATGTGTACACACATACATAGCTTACGCTCTGTGTGTACCCACGTGATGCCCATGTTCTGTGTGTACCCATGTGGTACCCACATGATGCCCACGCTGTATCTATGTGGTACCCATGTGGTACTCATGCGGTATCCATGTGATGCCCACGCTCTGTGTGCATCCGTGTGCACCCATGCGGCACCCATGTAGTACCCAGATGATGCCCACGCTCTGTGTGTACCCATGTGGTACCCATGTGATGCCCATGCGCTGTGTATGTGTGTCTGTGTGTATCCGTGTGCATCCATGGGCACCCCATGACCCCCATGCTCTGTGTGTATCTGTGTGTCCCCATAGGTCCCCACACGTTACCCCACGCACTGTGTATGTGTATCCATGTCCCCATGGGTCCCCACACGTTACCCCACGCACTGTGTATGTGTATCCATGTGTCCCCATAGGTCCCCACACGTTACCCCACGCACTGTGTATGTGTATCCATGTCCCATAGGTCCCCACACGTTACCCCACGCACTGTGTATGTGTATCCATGTCCCCATGGGTCCCCACACGTTACCCCACGCACTGTGTATGTGTATCCATGTGTCCCCATAGCTCCCCACACGTTACCCCACGCACTGTGTATGTGTATCCATGTGTCCCCATGGGTCCCCACACGTTACCCCACGCACTGTGTATGTGTATCCATGTCCCCATGGGTCCCCACACGTTACCCCACGCACTGTGTATGTGTATCCATGTCCCATAGGTCCCCACACGTTACCCCACGCACTGTGTATGTGTATCCATGTCCCCATAGGTCCCCACACGTTACCCCACGCACTGTGTATGTGTATCCATGTCCCCATAGGTCCCCACACGTTACCCCACGCACTGTGTATGTGTATCCATGTCCCCATGGGTCCCCACACGTTACCCCACGCACTGTGTATGTGTATCCATGTCCCCATAGGTCCCCACACGTTACCCCACGCACTGTGTATGTGTATCCATGTGTCCCCATAGGTCCCCACACGTTACCCCACGCACTGTGTATGTGTATCCATGTGTCCCCATAGGTCCCCACACGTTACCCCACGCACTGTGTATGTGTCCCCATGGGGTCCCCCGTGACCCCCCGCTCCCTGTGCCGCAGGTGGCCCCCGGCCATGAGCCAGCGCCCGTCGCTCTCCACCTTCAGCTCCGAGAACTTCTCGGACGGGGACGGGGACGGGGACGGGGAGGGGCTGACGAGCGAGGCCTCCCCCAGCGCCACCCCCGACGTGGGCAGCACCAACACGGACGAGCGCCCGGACGAGCGCTCCGAGGATTTGCTCTCGCAGGGCTCCGAGATCCCCATGGACGCCGCCCCCCACGACGGCCCCGCGCGCCCCAAGGTCAGAGACCCCCCAGGGGTGGGTGCTTGGGGAGGGGGGTCTTGGGGTACCCAAGGATGGGGTGAGCAAGGGGAAAGGGGACCCCAGAGGTGGGGGCTATTGGATGGGGGTTTCTTAGGGTCCCCCAATGCTGCTCATATGGGGTGGGGGGCCCTTAGGGTACCCCAGGATGGGGTTAGCAAGGGGAAAGGGGACCCCAGAGGTGGGGGCTATTGGATGGGGGTTTCTTAGGGTCCCCCAATGCTGCTCATATGGGGTGGGGGGTCCTTGGGGTACCCCCGGATGGGGTAAGGGGAAAGGGGTCCCTCGGGATGGGTGCTTTTGGATGGGGGAGGATTCTTAGGGTCCCCCAGAGATGGGTGCTTTTGGATGGGGGTTTCTTAGGGTCCCCCAATGCTGCTCATATGGGGGGGGGGTCCTTAGGGTACCCCCGGATGGGGCTAGCAATGGGAAAGGGGACCCTCGGGATGGGTGCTTTTGGATGGGGGGTTCTCAGGGTCCTCCAATGCTGCTCATACAGGGTGGGGGGTCCTTAAGGTACCCCCCGGGATGGGGTTAGCAAGGGGAAAGGGGACCCCAGAGGTGGGTGCTTTTGGACGGGGGGGGATTCTTAGGGTCCCCCAGTGCTGCTCATATGGGGTGGGGGGTCCTTAGGGTACCCCCAGATGGGGTTAGCAAGGGGAAAGGGGTCCCTCGGGATGGGTGCTATTGAATGGGGGGGGTCCCGGGGTCCTCCAATGCTGCTCATATGGAGTGGGGGGGGCCTTAGGGTACCCCCGGATGGGGTTAGCAAGGGGAAAGGGGTCCCTCGGGATGGGTGCTACTGGGTTGGGGGTCCTTAGGGTCCCTCAATGCTGCTCATATGGGGTGGGGGTCCTTAGGGTACCCCCAGATGGGGTTAGCAATGGGAAAGGGGACCCCAGAGATGGCGGCTTTTGGATGGGGGGGTCCTTAGGGTCCCTCAATGCTGCTCATATGGGGGTGGGGGGGTCCTTAGGGTACACCCGGATGGGGTTAGCAGTGGGAAAGGGGTCCCTCGGGATGGGTGCTTTTGGATGGGGGGGTCCTTAGGGTCCCTCAATGCTGCTCATATGGGGTGGGGGGTCCTTAGGGTACCCCAGGATGGGGTTAGCAAGGGGAAAGGGGACCCCAGAGATGGGTGCTCTTGGATGGGGGGGGTTTTAGGGTCCCCCAATGCTGCTCATATGGGGGGGGGGGGGGGTCCTTAGGGTACCCCAGGATGGGGTTAGCAAGGGGAAAGGGGACCCCAGAGATGGGTGCTTTTGGATGGGGGGGTTCTCAGGGTCCCCCAATGCTGCTCATATGGGGTGGGGGGCCCTTAGGGTACCCCAGGATGGGGTTAGCAAGGGGAAAGGGGACCCCAGAGATGGGTGCTATTGGATGGGGGGGTTCTCAGGGTCCCCCAATTCTGCTCATATGGGGGTGGGGGGTCCTTGGGGTACCCCCAGATGGGGTGAGCAAGGGGAAAGGGGTCCCTCGGGATGGGTGCTTTGGGATGGGGGGGTTCTCAGGGTCCCCCAATGCTGCTCATATGGGGTGGGGGGTCCTTAAGGTACCCCCCGGATGGGGTGAGCAAGGGGAAAGGGGTCCCTCGGGATGGGTGCTTTTGGATGGGGGTTTCTTAGAGTCCCCCAATGCTGCTCATATGGGGTGGGGGGTCCTTAAGGTACCCCAGGATGGGGTTAGCAAGGGGAAAGGGGACCCCAGAGGTGGGTGCTTTTGGATGGGGGGTTTCTTAGGGTCCCCCAGTGCTGCTCATATGGGGGGGGGGGTGTCCTTAGGGTACTCCAGGATGGGGTTAGCAAGGGGAAAGGGGTCCCTCGGGATGGGTGCTTTTGGATGGGGGGGTTCTCAGGGTCCCCCAATGCTGCTCATATGGGGTGGGGGGTCCATAGGGTACCCCCGGATGGGGTTAGCAAGGGGAAAGGGGTCCCTCGGGATGGGTGCTACTGGGTTGGGGGTCCTTAGGGTCCCTCAATGCTGCTCATATGGGGTGAGGGGTCCTTAGGGTACCCCCAGATGGGGTTAGCAATGGGAAAGGGGACCCCAGAGATGGCGGCTTTTGGATGGGGGGGTTCTTAGGGTTCCCCAATGCTGCTCATATGGGGTGGGGGGGTCCTTAGGGTACCCCCGGGATGTTGTTAGCAAGGGGAAAGGGGACCCCAGAGGTGGGTGCTTTTGGATGGGGGGGTCCTTAGGGTCCCTCAATGCTGCTCATATGGGGGTGGGGGGGTCCTTAGATTACCCCCAGATGGGGTTAGCAAGGGGAAAGGCGTCCCTCGGGATGGGTGCTTTTGGATGGGGGTTTCTTAGGGTCCCCCAGTGCTGCTCATATGGGGTGGGGGGATCCTTGGGGTACCCCAGGATGGGGTTAGCAAGGGGAAATGGGACCCCAGAGATGGGTGCTATTGGATGGGGGGGGTCCCAGGGTCCTCCAATGCTGCTCATATGGGGTGGGGGGTCCTTGGGGTACCCCCGGATGGGGTTAGCAATGGGAAAGGGGGCCCTCGGGATGGGTGCTTTTGGATGGGGGTTTCTTAGGGTCCCCCAATGCTGCTCATATGGGGGGGGGTCCTTAGGGTACCCCCAGATGGGGTTAGCAAGGGCAAAGGGGACCCCAGAGATGGGTGCTTTTGGATGGGGGGGGTTTTAGGGTCCCCCAATGCTGCTCATATGGGGGGGGGGGGGTCCTTAGGGTACCCCAGGATGGGGTTAGCAAGGGGAAAGGGGACCCCAGAGATGGGTGCTTTTGGATGGGGGGGTTCTCAGGGTCCCCCAATGCTGCTCATATGGGGTGGGGGGCCCTTAGGGTACCCCAGGATGGGGTTAGCAAGGGGAAAGGGGACCCCAGAGATGGGTGCTATTGGATGGGGGGGTTCTTAGGGTCCCTCAATGCTGCTCATATGGGGTGGGGGGGGCCTTAGGGTACCCCAGGATGGGGTTAGCAGTGGGAAAGGGGTCCCTCGGGATGGGTGCTTTTGGATGGGGGGGGGTCCCAGGGTCCCCCAATGCTGCTCATATGGGGTGGGGGGATCCTTGGGGTACCCAAGGATGGGGTGAGCAAGGGGAAAGGGGTCCCTCGGGATGGGTGCTATTGAATGGGGGGGCGTCCTGGGGTCCTCCAATGCTGCTCATACAGGGTGGGGGGTCCTTAGGGTACCCCAGGATGGGGTTAGCAGTGGGAAAGGGGACCCGAGAGATGGGTGCTTTTGGATGGGGGGGGATTCTTAGGGTCCCCCAGTGCTGCTCATATGGGGTGGGGGATCCTTGGGGTACCCCCAGATGGGGTTAGCAATGGGAAAGAGGGCCCTCGGGATGGGTGCTATTGGATGGGGGGGTTCTCAGGGTCCCCCAATGCTGCTCATATGGGGTGGGGGGTCCTTAGGGTCCCCCAGGGCTGGGTGCTGTGGGGTGGGGGGTCCTTGGGGTCCCCCAGGGCTGGGTGCTGTGGGGTGGGGGGGTCCTTGGGGTCCCCCAGGGCTGGGTGCTGTGGGGTGGGGGGGTCCTTGGGGTCCCCCAGGGCTGGGTGCTGTGGGGTGGGGGGGCCCTTGGGGTCCCGCAGGGCTGGGTGCTGTGGGGTGGGGGGGTCCTTGGGGTCCCCCAGGGCTGGGTGCTGTGGGGTGGGGGGGTCCTTGGGGTCCCCCAGGGCTGGGTGCTGTGGGGTGGGGGGTCCTTGGGGTCCCCAGGGCTGGGTGCTGTGGGGTGGTGATGCCCTGAGCCCCCCCAGCTGGGGTTAGCAAAGGGCAAGGGGGTTCCCCAGAGATGGGTGCTGTTGAGGGGGTGTCTCCAAGGGATGGGTGCTATGGGGGGGGGAGACACCTTAGGGTCCCCCCGGAAGTGACTGGCAACGTGAAAGGGGACCCCCAGGACGGGGGGCTCTAAGGTCACCCAGAGCTTGACATTATGGGATGGAGGGGAGGGGGGGGGGGGTTCAGACCCCCAGGGCTGGGACTTAAGGGGAGGGGGGGCCTCCAAGGCTGGATCCCATAGGGAAGAGCTTTGGGGTCCCCAAGGTCATGGAAAGGGGGGTTGGGGGGGGGGGGTCTGAGGATGCTGAACCCCCCCTTTCTGTTGTGTGCCCCCCCCCCAGGTCTCCGAGGACTCGGACTGCGACAGCGCGGAGCTGGATCACTCAGGCAGCGGCGAGGGCCCCCCCCGGCCCACGGCCCCCCCCGGCCTGTGACCTGCATCCCCCCGCACCCCCCCCACTTGTACAGCCCCATATATTTATATAAATATCTATGGATCTCTAGAGGAAGCCGTCTCTGTGCATGGGGGGGGCAGGGACACCAATAGGGGTCAATACTGCCTATCCCCCCCCCGTGTTTCTGTAGGACCTACTGTAATGCCCCCCCACCTAAAGAGGGGGGGGGAAGACAGGAGCTGTGTGTTCCCCCCCCCCAGGGGATGATTTGGGCTGAACCCCATCTCCAGTCCCAGCCCTGCTTTACTGGGGGGACTGGGAGCACTGGGGGGGGGGAGTAAAGGATGGTGGCCCCCCAGACCAGGGGTTAAATTGGGGGGAGACAACAAAGCATAGAAGGGGTTGAAATCCCCCCCCTCCAGCCCCACTCCTTTACTGGGGGGACTGGGACCAGTGGATCTGGGGGGGGGGGTGTTAAAGCAAAGCCCCTCCCAAAGGGGAACCTAAAGGATTTGGGGGTGCTGCTTCCCATTAAAGAGCAAGGAAACCCCCAACCCCAATGGATCCACCTGCACCCCCCCCGGGGCAGAGTGAGCCCAGGGCATGGGGGGGGCTCTGAGCACACACAGGGGGTGCTACGGCCACATGAAGGGGGTACAGGGGGTAAATGGGGGATACACAGGAAGTGCTATGGGGGGGCACACAGGAGGTGCTCTGGGGGGGACAGGGGGTCCTATGGGGGGGGCACACAGGGGTGCTCTGGGGGGGCATAAAGGAGGTGCTATGGGGGGGCACACAGGGGTGCTACGGGGGGCACAAAGGAGGTGCTATGGGGAGCACAAAGGAGGTGCTATGGGGAGCACACAGGGGTTGCTATGGGGGGCACACAGGGGTGCTCTGGGGGGGGACACAGGGGGTGCTATGAGGGGCAGGGCACACAGGGGTGCTCTGGGGGGGGCACAAAGGAGGTGCTATGGGGGGGCAGGGCACAAGGTGTTCTGGGGGGGCACACAGGAGGTGCTATGGGGAGCACACAGGGGTGCTCTGGGGGGGGCAGGGCACACAGGGGTGCTATGGGGAGCACACAGGGGTGCTATGGGGGGCAGGGCATACAGGGGGTGCTATGGAGGGGCACACAGGTGGTGCTATGGGGGGCACACAGGGGTGCTCTGGGGAGTACACAGGGGGTGCTCTGGGGGGCAGGGCACACAGGGGTGCTATGGGGAGCACACAGGGGGTGCTATGGGGGGCAGGGCACACAGGGGTGCTCTGGGGGGCCACACAGAAGGTGCTATGGGGAGCACACAGGGGTGCTCTGGGGAGTACACAGGGGGTGCTCTGGGGGGCAGGGCACACAGGGGTGCTCTGGGGGGGGGCAGGGCACACAGGGGGTGCTCTGGGGGGGGCAGGGCACACAGGGGTGCTCTGGGGGGGGCAGGGCACACAGGGGGTGCTCTGGGGGGGGCAGGGCACACAGGGGGTGCTCTGGGGGGGGCACACAGGGGTGCTCTGGGGGGGGCAGGGCACACAGGGGTGCTCTGGGGGGGGGCACACGGACAAAGCTCCCGTCCATCTTTTTATTAACTGCTTTTCCTGAAAAAGTCTCCTGCCGTTCCATGGAGCGAGGGCTCCCGTGCCCTGCCCTCCCCCCACATCCCCACCCCCCCCCTACCCCCCACCCCCCCCTCCCCCAGCGCCGGGGCACACGGGGGTGGGGGGGGGAAAGGAGGAAAACCAAAGAGAGGAGCATTGGGAGGAGAGAGAAGCTTTATAAAACTAAGATCTGGGCTCAGCGGGTGACCGGAGGAGTTAAAACGCTGATGCTTTGGGGGGGGGGGGGGGGTAAAGGAGGGGAGGGGGATGGGGGATAAAGGAAGAGAAAAAAAAAAAAAAAAAAAAAATCATCATCAAGAAACCAAGAGAAATCCCAAACAACTCAACCTGGTGAGTGGTGGAGAACCGGAAACCCAAAAATGTCCAAACTAAGGTTCTGGAAACCTGGGGCTGGCTCTAAAGGGGCTACACAGATGGATGGTGCGAGGCCGGGCTCCGCGGCGGGCCCTAGCTGCTTCCCATGCCCCCGGTCTCCGAGGAGAGCCTGCAACGAAGAAAAGGGCGTCAGAGTGGGGCTGGGGGGGGAAAGGGAAGGAGGAGCCCCATAGGGAGGTGCCCTGCTGGGGGGGAGCCCCATAGGGGGAAGTGGGGTACAAGGCAGAAGCAGCAAAGGGAGGGCAGCGGAACAAGGAGGGGGGGGCTCCAAGTGGGCTGGATCCAGAGGGAAGGGGTGGGGGCGGGAGGAGGGCACCCAAAGCACCCTGGGGTGCAGCAGCGCAAGGGGAAGGAGGGAAAGGGTTGGAACCCCCCCATGGAGAGGGTTAAGGGGGGGCACACACGATGCAATTGGGGGGGATCCCCCCCAGCAAGCAGGGCCAGCACCAGCATCCCCAAACCTGCACCAAGCAGCCACCTCCCTGCTATTTAAAGGGGGGGGGGCACCGCACTAGGGGTGAAAGCACCCTACTATGGGCGATGGGGGCTCCCCCCCCGGCTCCCAACCCCCCCCTCCCATAGCACAGATCTAGCAGAGCAGATTCTCACCGTGGCAACTTTATTACAGGGTACAGACATTCCAAGAGGATTAAATCCCGCCCCAAGTCGTTTATTCCATAACGACCCCCTCCCTCCACCCCCCCACCCCCCCCTCCACAAAGCACGATTGCAACTAAAAACTGGGAAGAAAGGAGAGGAAATCGTAAGGAAAAAAAGCTACAAGCCAGCAGGAGCAGGAGGAGTTAATGGCTCCCTAGGAGGGGAAATCATCTCTCCCCCGGCAAAACCCCCGGGGAGGGATGAGCACGGCCTCGCTCCAAAGAGGAAGAGGAGAAGCCAAAAAGGACCCAAGGCAGCGGGGAAAGGGCTTTTTCCCGGGTTCCCCTCGGGCTTCTCCAGCTGCTGGGGCTCTCAAGGCTCCAGCAGGCTCAGTAAGGAGCAAACCTCTGTTTTTCCGCTTTCAGTTTGTTAGGGGCACCCGGCACGGCCGGAGCCGAGGCGCCTTTAGCAGCAGAGACCACATTGAGAGCCAGGAGAGGGACGGGTTTCATGCCAAGCAGACTGGAGACACAGGGGGCACTCGGAAGAGGGTTGGGGAGGCTGACGGGTGCTTCGGAGGCCGCCGCTGCGGCGAGCGAGGGGGTGGTGGTGGTGGTGGTGGTGGTGGAGGAGGAGGAAGAAGAAGAAGAAGAAGAAGAAGGGGTGGAGGGTTGAGAGAGGTTGATGCTGAGGTGGTCAGGGGCCGTGGCGGAGGCTGCCTGGGAGGAGGGTTTAGCGCTTTCTAGACTGTAACAGAGCAGAAAAGGAACAAAAAAAAAAGACAAAAAAACCCAAAATCGACGGGTGGGTGGAAGGGCAACAGCAGGGAGGGAGCAGCACAGCACACACAGGGCCCAGCGCGGGGAACGGGGACCCCGTCGGGCCGGCCTCGCCTTAGGGACCCCCCATGGCGCTGGGGGCATCGACGCGAGGCAAAAAAGGAGAGGAAAATCCCAGCGGGTCCTGGCATGGAGCTGGCAGCACGGAGCGGGGGGGGGCACGGCCCTGCCACGGGCCCTTCGCCTCCATCCAGAGCTCCAGGGGCTGGGAAGAGGGGAGGACGCGGCCTCGGCACGGCTGGGAGCACCCTGGGATCCTGGCATCCCGCAGTGGGATGCTTGGGATTGCCCAGGAGCTGGCTCAAGGAGGTGGGGGGGGGGGTCCCTTCCTCTATCACCCACCAAAGATCAGCCCTCACCACACAAGCACCGGATGGAAGCAGCACAGCCCTAAACCACCTTTATGGACCCTATTCCAAGCAGGTCCAGGCCCTTCCAGCTTCCCACAAGCTGGGAAGCGACAGCACGAGGAAAAACGGGACAGCACGAGAGGGAAGTGGGGGGGAAAGGGACCAAAAGCAGGAGAAGCAGGGATTTGGGACCACCGCATCCCCCCCCACCGTCACCCCAATGGTGCCAGTCCCTCCCAGGCCCCCGGGCCCGGTGCTGGCGCTCACCTGACATTGATTAGATACTGGGCCAAGCTGATGCTGGCGGCCGAGCCGGTGATGGTGACCTGGCGGTCGGTGGAGCCCTCCACGGGGTTGGCAATCTTGATCTGAGCCCCCGACATCTGACGGATCTCGTTGATCTTGGCGCCCTGGCGCCCGATGATGCAGCCAATCAACTGCGGGGGAAGCAGCTCCCGTTAGCATCCCAGAGCATCCAACACCCTCTTCCCCCCCCCACCCCGGACCCCACTGGGCTCCACAGGCATCTCCCAAAGGGGGTTTCCTGCCCTAAAACGTGGCTGGAAACCCTAAGGGCTGAAGCCACAAGCTCCCCCCCCCCCCGCCCCGCTGGAAGGGCAGATCCCCATGGCTAAAGGAGGAAGCAGCGGGCTGGATCCCACCGGGATACTCACATCATTTGGAATGGTGAGTTCGTGAGAGGTGGTTTGAGCGGAGGCATCCAAACCTGCTCGGGAGACAGGGAGAAAGCGGCAGAGGTTGAGGGGGGCAGCACCCACGGACCCACGGCTGCTGCGGCCTCGGGGCTCCCTCGGAGGTGGATTCAAGACCGGAGGGCAAGGGCAGAGCTGTGAGTTACTGCACCCTCCCCACGCCTCCTGCTGCGTGTCCGTGTCGTGTCCCCATCCCCAGCTCTCTCCCCATTGCATCCCTGTGCCCTCATTCCATGGCACCACAGATGCTCCTCGCAGGCAGGGCAGGCGCCCAGCAATGTGCTCGTGCTGCTCCATCACCAGCTTTGAAGGGCTACGCTACCCCCTGCTCCTCCTCCTCATCCTCCTCCTCCTCACCACCACAGCCCCACGCCGGCCAGTGGAGCTCCACATGGGTCATAAATGGGGTCTTAAGGGTTTTAAAGACTTTTTTCTCCCCCCTTTCCCAGCTCATTCCCTGCTACAGGGAGAGGTGGGAGGCTCCAGCCCTCACCCCAGGGCTATGGGGGGGGGGGTGGAAGCAGTGTGGGGACACAACCTGGGTGTCCCCCCTTTGCCACCAGCAGTAAGTGCAGGCAAATGGCTCCAGCAGCTCCTTGGGCACGGGGTGGGGGGGAACTGCTCCCCCTCAGCACAAGGCTGAGGGTAAAAGGAGGGGGCTCGAGGCCTCCACCGAGCCCTGCTGCTCTCCACTGAGTCCCTGCACTGCCAGGGGGTACCTCCAGCCCGTCTAAAGCTCCCCTGAACCCCCCTTTTCCCCTCCCATCCGTGCACAAAGGCGGGGGGTGTTTAAGAGGGAGCAGGAGACCCCAGGCAGGATCCATACACGAGAGAATAACTACACATTTTGGTGTTCAATCATTACCCCAATAGCCTTTCACCTCTGGAGAGCTGGATTCAATGCCTGTCAAGATACAAGGGACAATGAGTTTCGGCCGTCTCCAGCTGAGAGCCCCAAGTGGGTATTTTAGCCACCTTAGCAGATCTACAGCAGATTTTGGGGGGTATGGGGGGGGCACAACTCAACAGTTGCCTGCTCAGGACTGGAGCAGCCAGAGGGGAATGAGGGGGTGCTGCAGGTCCGGGGAGGGGGGGGCTCCAAATGAATCGGCAGAGCTGTGGAGGATGAGGGTGAAGAGGAAGGGCAGCAGCACGGAGGCCCTGCCTGCTCGGCGGTTGCTTCTCGGTGGTGTTCTGCCTCTTACCCCCCTGTGGCCCCCCCAGAGGCCGGTACCAAAGTCACCCCCAGGCCAGGCTGAGCTGGAAGGGGGGGGGGGGGAATATGGAGGAGGGGGGGGGCACGTTTGGTTTTGGGCTGTTTGTGAGGCCCCGTGCCGAGGAGCCTGAGCCACGCTTAGCACACGTAAGAGAGAAGGAGTTTCCATACCACTGAATCCAGTGTTGCCATGAGACATTGGAAAGGGTGACTGTTGCATTGCCAACTGGTGCAGCTTGGTCAGCTAGAGGAGGAGGAGGGGAAGACAAGAGAGAGAAAGGCTGATGTTAGCCATTTCCCAAGCCCGGGGGAGGCGGGGAGGGGGACAGGACTCCGCACATCAACACAGACACTGCCAGTGGCACCGGGCCCCCCTCCCCGGCCCCATGGAGGGGGCAGGCTCCAGGCCAAGGTGGGCTGGGGAGGGCTGTGCCCACCCCCTGGTGAAGCGAGGCGGGAGAGGAGCTCAGGGACAGAAGCAGAGAGGAGAGGGCAGGGTCTGCCCCGCGCCATGCAGGGAGCAGCGAGGAGGGGGACAGGGGGGGATGTGGGGATGGAGACCGGCTCGGTCCAGCCGCCAGAGAAGCTCTTTTATAGCCCAGCTTCTTTCTAAGCCCTTCTCCTCCCTGGCCTGGTTGTGTCCAAACTCCCCCCCCCTCCCCAGTGACTGCTCTAAGGGTGCCAGGAGCAGAGATCAGCCCTACGGGATGAGCATGGTGCCGAGGATGGTGGTGGCCAACAGCGCCGGTGGGAATGCCAAAGGGTCCCCCCCCCACAAGCAGGCTGGGGACAGCCTGGGCTGGGCCCAAACCCCCCCTTTTCCTTGTCCCCAAGTGCCTCGGGAGAGCCACCAAGACAGTGACCCATGGGGTGCTGGTCTGGCTTCCTCCCGAGGGGCTGCGTGCCCGGTTTAAGGAGGGGGGGGGCAAAGGAGAAGCTGGAGCTGGTGTGAAATGGCCAAGCTGGGAAGAGGGAAGGGGGGGGAAAAAAATGACATCTGGGAGCAGGGAGAGGGGAGGAAAGTGTCAGAAAGGGGGCGAGGGAAGGCAAAAGGAGGGACCTGAGGCCAGGTGAAGCTGGCTGCAGGAGGGTGAGCTTTTTTGGGGGGGAAAGCTCAGCTCAGATCATTCAGCCCCAACGGCTCGAGTCGAGAGAGCACGGAGAACGTTTTGGAACGGGGGGAGGAGGAAAAGGGGTGCATTTTAGGACAAGAAGTTGTAAACAAAACTTACATCTGGCTGTGGAATGGCATACTGTCCTTGAATGGTATAGGCCTACAAAAAGGAGGAAAACAGTCCTATTAACAACCATCGGACAGCCACCCAGGGACAGACAGATTTCAACTAGCCAGGAAGTCAGAGAGCCAAGTGGAGAGTTCTCCGGGGCGAGGGAAGTGGGGCAGGGAGAGGCAGGGGACGGATCAATGCTGGAACAAGCAGTTTCTAGCCTCAAATTGGCCTCGAGGTGGCGTTTTGGGGCGGGAATGGCCAGTTTTGGTTGCCGTCCCCCCCAAAAAAAAAACAAAAAAAAAACCAAAACAAAAAAAAAAAAAAAAAAACAAAAACAAAACAGCAAAGTGGCAGACAAAAAAAAAAATTAAAAAAAAATCAAAAGAGAAGACGACACAACGGGCTGGGATCTTGATGAAGATGTTATGGTGTGGTGGAGTCCAACAATGCTTCTAGCCCTGCACCCCCCCCTCGCCGACAGGGGAAGAGCTCCAAGACCCCAACCAGCCCTGCTTAGCTCCTGGCCCCCTCCTCGGCCCGGCCCAAAGAAACCTCCACCCCCCCCACCAACCCCCCTCCAATGCCAATTCCAAAAAAAAATTCCCAATCCGAGTCCTCTCGTCACTTCCACACCTAGGAAACGTCGCCGGGCAAGCTAGAGGCAATGCTGGAGCTGGCTACTGATGCTAGACAAGGCAAAAGAGAGGCATTCGGGTCGGGGGGGGGGACGGGGGGGACGAGGCTGAGCGCCTGACCTGCCACAATTCCATGTCTTGAGGTTAAGGGACAGCCACAGACTTCAGATGCCTCCTGAAGCTACCCAGAAAGGAGGAGTCACTGGCTGGGGCCTGGCTGGCTAAGTCTTATGGGTGGGTTGGAGGGGGCCGGGCAGGTTGGGGATGGGTGGGAGAGGAGGGGGAGAGGGGGGTACACAGCCTCACTTCCAGGTCACCGGAAGAACTGCAGCCCAGGCTGGAATTGGCCCAAGTTCGTTGCCATGCAGTGGCTGCCGGGTGGCCTGCGTGAGGAGAGGTTGGTGGGCTCAGAGTCCAGTTCCCAGTGGACAGGAGTCCACAGCACAAAAGCCACCGGGATGACGGGGTTTTTGGGGGACGGGGACGGGGATGCCACCCTTGTTGGCAGTCTCAGAGAGGCCAAGGATTGAACAGGCCGTGGAGACTGAACTCCCCTCTCACCTCCTGAGGTGGTCCCTCCAAGTCAGTGTTGAGGCACAAGGTTGGGGCGGTGGGGGGGTAGTTCGCAGTGCCGCTGCTGTACCTGTCCTGTGGATAAATTAGAGGACTTCAGTCTCCAGGGCTGTCAATCCGAAACCTTCCGCTAACACCAAAGTCACATCGACACTTGAGCTCTGCTGGTCGAGGGCTAAACCTGCTCTAAAAGCACGGCTCTGAGCTGCAAAGACAGAGACGCGACACCACCGGGAGCGGGGCCCGGGCGGCTGCATCGGCCTGGCCGAAGGGGAACAGGGATGGAAGAGGAGGAAAAGGGGGGAGAAGACAAGGGGGAAAGGGAGGGAAGAGATGCGTGGCCATGGGAAGCCTGCTCCTCACTGCTCTAATGGGGAAGGCGGGGGGGGGGAACACACGGTACAGACCCCCCCTGCCAAGGGGCTCGGGGGGGGGCACACACACACAGGGATGTACCGGCCAGAGCAGGCGCATCCCCCGGGGTGCAGAGCGGCAGGAGAAGCTCTCGGAGAGGTGGGAAGGGGCTGACCGGGATCGGGAAGGGGAGGAGGAAGAGGCAGGGAGGGTGAAGGGGTTGGGGAGGGGGAGGCCAATGCGAGGAGGTCCCCAAATCAAGCGTGGCACCAGCCTGGCGAGGGGCTGGGGGGGAGCAGAGTCAGGGCTGGCTCGGTGGGGGGGGGGGGGGGGAGGCCGGCAGCAGCTACACCATTCCCTGCCTCTGGAATGCCAATAGCAGCCCCCGGGGCTGGCTCAGGGCTCCAGGCCGTGCCGGAGCCCATCCCAAGGGATCTCCCTGCCAGCGGATGCGTCTGCACCAGTATCCGTGGGGTCTGTGCCTCCCAAAGCCTTAAGGCAACCCTGAGAACTGCAGGGTGGGGAGTGCATCACCCACACCCGGGCCTGAGCCTCCTGCCTTGCCCAGCAGCCTGGACCTCCCCCCCCCAGCAGCAACCCCCACCCCAAATAGGGCCGGGGGGGTCAGGGCCTTACAGCAGACAGGACCCAAGGGAGCCCGTGCAGGTAGCAGCGGCTCCCTGGCCCAGCTCCATCCCCACCTCACCTGATGCCTACTCCTATCTGCACCCTCCCCTCGAGTGAGACGAAGCCTTTCCGCACCCAAACCCGACCCCACAACACGAGGGGCCTTTGCACCCCAAAACACCCCCCCCCCCTCATGCCCCCCCCCAAACCCCTCAGGGCCGGTCACCCACACCAGGTCACACCGAGGCCTCGGAGCCAGCCCCAGGGATGGGGCAGAGCCTGCATTTGGCCGCTGGAATTTTGGCCTGATCCAATTCCCCCTCTGCTGCCACCACGCGGGGCTTTGGGGTGCTGTGGCTGGCTCAGCGCAGGGCTCTTTGCCAGCTCCTCTTACCCCCCACATCAGCCCTTTCGGGCCCCCCCCCCATCCCGCCCCTGCCCTCATCCCTCCCTGGAGCAGGCTCTGGGAGGCTCAGGCCGGTGGGTGACAGGCCCGTGGAGCAGCCGACGTGCACTGGCCACGGTGAGACCCCCCCAGTCCCATCCCATCCCAGCCCACACCCCGGGAGCAGAGCAGAGGCCTTACCTGACCGCCTGCAAAGATGACAGGAGAGGTGGATGGCTTGGGCCGGTACGGGATGGTGACACCCTTCGGGGGAGACTGGGGACAGGCAGAGAGCAGAGTCACACAGAGCGGCACCGCAGCGGCCATGCCCCCCCCGCCCTGCACAGCATGGCTGGGCTCTGGGCTCAGCATCAGCCCTTTGGGAGGGAGCAAAACCACCCCATTCCTTCCCCATGCTGGGAATGGGACTGAGGGAGGACACCCAAGAACCAAAGAGGGTGACATGGGGCAGCAGGACACTGTACCCCGCACACAGATGCTCTGCTTCGGGTTCTTAAGCCAGCCCTTTGGGAGGGAGCAGAGCATCCCATTCCTGCCCCATGCTGGCAATGGGACTGAGGGAGGACACCCAAGGAGCAGAGAGGGTACAGAGGATGCTGAACCCTGCCCATTCAAGCTCTGCTTTGGGCTCAAAACCAGCCCTCTGGGAGGAGGCAGCGCAACCCAGTTCCTTCCCCATGCTGGGCATGGGACTGAGGGAGGACACCCAAGGAGTACTGAGGGTGACAAGGGACAGCAGGAGGACACCCAAGGAGCACTGAGGGTGACAAGGGACAGCAGGAGGACACCCAAGGAGCACTGAGGGTGACAAGGGACAGCAGGAGGACACCCAAGGAGCACTGAGGGTGACAAGGGACAGCAGGAGGACACCCAAGGAGCACTGAGGGTGACAAGGGACAGCAGGAGGACACCCAAGGAGCACTGAGGGTGACAAGGGACAGGAGGAGGACACCCAAGGAGCACAGAGGCTGACAAGGGACAGCAGAATGCTGCTGTGTACAACAATGCTCTGCTTTGGGTTCAAAATCAGCCCTCTGAGAGGAGGCAGAGCAACCCCATTCCTTCCCCATGCTGGGCAAGGGACTGAGGGAGGACACCAAAGGAGCAGAGAGGATGTCAGGGACAGCAGGAGGACACCCAAGGAGCAGGGACAGCAAGACCCCGCTGCTCCAGGCAGCTCTAGAGGCCTGGCTCAACACTGGTTTAAGCCTCACCTGGAGAAAGGAGGCTGTAATCCCCACTATCCCTTTATCCCCCCCCATTTGTCCCTCCTCAGCGTTTTCCACTCGCCAGGAGGGCTGCAGCTCAGCGAGGGCAGGAGGGATCCCTGCATTCCCAACGGGACACAGCCAGCTCCGGCAGGGGGAGGTGGGAGGGCAGGAAGGGGGGGCCCTACCTCCAGCATGACGACGCAGATCTGTTTGACACACTCGATGATGGACTGTGGGATCCCAGCGATGGTGATGGCTCGCTCGGTGGAGTTGGGCAGCATGTCCCCGGCCACCTGGACCTGTGCCCCCGTGCTCTGGCCAGGGGTAAAAATAGGCTGTGAGGGCCTGGGGAGGGCTGTGACCTCAGCAGCAAAGCCTGCAGCAGGGTTATACATAGCCAGCCCCCCCTCCCAGCATCAAAATCCTTTAATCCTAGCTGGAAATTATTTGGGAGCCCGGGGCAGGAGAGGAGGGTCTGGGTGCAGCAGGGCAGAGTTAACCCATCACAGCCCAGGGGGGGCAGGGACCAGGGTTAAATGGCACCCACTGAGGCCTGGAAGCGTGATCCCTCCTTCCAACAAGTGGGAAAACACTGGAGAGAGGGAGAAACCAAGAGCCCTGGGAAAGCAGGGAGCAGGAATCCAGTGCTGGGAAGGGGAGGGTCTGCCCCAGGCTCGGTTTCACCAGCACTAAAAATACAAAGAGCTCCCAAGGAGCGATGCCAGGCTGGGGCTGGGGCATGGATTGATCCCTCGGGGCGCCCTGGAATTCCACACGCACCTCTCGGATCTCCTTGATCTTGCAGCCTCCCTTGCCAATGAGGGACCCGCACTGGCTGGCGGGCACCACGAGCCGCAGGGTGACCGGGGGCCGGCTGGCGGCCGTGCTGTTGGTCATGGAGCTGCTGATGTCCTGCGGGAGGGAAGAGGAGGCACTCACAGGGATGTGGGGGGGAGGAAATGATCCTGGCACCACAGCCCAGGTCAAGGTGACCCTGGGCATATCCCGGCCCTGTTCCCAGGAATGGCATGGGAAGGATGGATGCAGCAGCCAAGTTCTGTGTTGTCTGCGTGGAAAGGGGGGGTTTAACTTCTCCCCCCAGCCCAGTGGCAATGGGGGGGGGGGGGGGGGACACATCCCATCATCCCACATGGGAACGGGCTGTGCTGGAGCTCCGCATTCCCGGCACCGGGATCAGAGCAGGAGCAGGCAGGGGAGAACAGGCCTGGCACGGGTGGCAGCCGTCATGTGCTGAAGGGGGAGGAGGCACAAGGCCATGGCTCAGACCTAAAATAAAGCTTTAACTCCGAGCGCAGCGCTTGGAATGTGGGAGCTGGGATGGGACCGGGAGCACTTGGAAATCTCCAGCGCTTGGGATACAGCACAAACAGCTCCTGTTGGGCAGCAGTGAGGCCCCGGGGCCGCCTCCTCCATTGGGAAGGATCCCAAATCCAACTGAAAACAGGGTTTTCACCCCCAGAAGCAAGGTGAGGGCTGTGGGGCTCAGCCCCAGGTCAAGAACGCTCCCGCCTTCCAAAGGATGTGGAGCGGGATGGAAGCTCAATACCATCACCCTGAGCAGGCTCTAACGCCCGGATCCAGGTTATCCAGGCCCAGCATCCCTCCTGGAAGTCGATTCAACAGGAGCAGGGGCACGATGCAGCTCCGCACCCCCAGGCCCCCTCCTCGGCAGGGCTGGAGCAGAGGTGCAGCGGAAGGGAATCATCCTCCTGCGCAGGGGATGAGCCAAGCCAGGGCATTCCCGGCCCTGCTCCCTCTGGAGCTCTGGGGCGTTTCCAGGCCAGGAACATCCCTGTGGATCCCAGCCCTCAACCACTTAGGGCGCCCAGGGAGGGGTCATCCCTGGTCCGAGCTGGCAGCAGAGCAAAGATGAGGCCCCACAGGGACAACAGCGGCTCATGCAGAACGAGCCCATCCCACTGCTCATCCCTAGGGAATGAGCTTCCTGCGTGCTCCGGGGCGGATCCAAGGGGATACTCATCCAGGGAAGGGCTGGAGGCTGCACACTCACCTCTTCCAGTTTGTCAATGATCATGGCAAAAGCTTTGAAGATGGCATTGGTGGGGCCAGCGAGGGTGATGATCCGCTCGGGACAATTCCCTTCGGAGATGTTGATGCGGGCACCGCTCTGCGGGAAGAGGAGCCCTCAGCACCCCGGGATCCCAAGGGATTCCCCGCCAGGGACAGACCCTCCCTTGCTTGGGGCAGGGGGGATCCATCAGGATTCCCCACAGAGAAGAACCCTCCCTCCATCGCTCAGTTGGGTATGGAGCCCGCAGCGCTTCCCACAGTGAGGAATCCTCTGGGTTCAGCCCACATCCAGCAGGATTCCCTCAACAGTGCTAAAAGCTCCCCTGCTCTGTTCAGTGCGGATCCATCCGGATTCCCACCACTGCTAAATCCTCCCTCATTCTGTTCAGCATGGATCCTTCAGGATGCCCACCCATGATCCATCATCCCTCACTGTTCAGCATGGATCCCTCAGGATGCCCACCCATGATCCACCCCCCCTCACTCTGTTCAGCATGGATCCCTCAGTATTGTCACCCATGATCCATCCTCCCTCACTCTGTTCAGCATGGATCTCTCAGGATGCCCACCCGTGATCCATCCTCCCTTGCTCTGTTCAGCATGGATCCCTCATAACTCCCACCCGTGATCCATCCTCCCTCACTGTTCACTATGGATCCCTCAGGATTGTCACCCCTGATCCATCCTCCCTCACTGTTCAGCATGGATCCCTCATGACTCCCACCTGTGATCTATCCTCTCTTGCTCTGTTCAGCATGGATCCCTCAGGATTGTCACCCGTGATTCACCCTCCCTCGCTGTTCAGCATGGATCCCTCAGGATGCCCACATGGGATTCATCCTCCCTTGCTCTGTTCAGCATGGATCCCTCATGACTCCCACCTGTGATCCATCCTCCCTCACTCTGTTCAGGATGGATCCCTCAGGATGCCCACCCGTGATCCATCCTCCCTTGCTCTGTTCAGCATGGATCCCTCATGACTCCCACCCATGATCCACCCTCCCTCACTCTGCTCAGCATGGATCCCTCAGGATGCACACCCATGATCCATCCTCCCTCTGTTCAGCATGGATCCCTCATGACTCTCACCCATGATCCATCCTCCCTTGCTCTGTTCAGCATGGATCCCTCAGGATCCCCACCCACGATCCACCCTCCCTCACTCTATTCAGCATGGATCCCTCATGACTCCCACCCGTGATCCACCCTCCCTCACTCTGCTCAGCATGGATCCCTCAGGATCCTCACCATGATCCATCCTCCCTCACTCTGTTCAGTATGGATCCCTCATGACTCCCACCTGTGATCCATCCTCCCTTGCTCTGTTCAGTATGGATCCCTCATGACTCCCACCTGTGATCCATCCTCCCTTGCTCTGTTCAGTATGGATCCCTCATGACTCCCACCTGTGATCCATCCTCCCTTGCTCTGTTCAGAGTGGATCCCTCAGGACCCCCACCCGTGATCCATCCTCCCTCACTCTGCTCAGCATGGATCCCTCAGGATGCCCACCCATGATCCATCCTCCCTCACTGTTCAGCATGGATCCCTCATGACTCCCACCCATGATCCATCCTCCCTCACTGTTCAGCATGGATCCCTCATGACTCCCACCCATGATCCATCCTCCCTCACTCTGTTCAGCATGGATCCCTCAGGATGCCCACCCATGATCCATCCTCCCTTGCTCTGTTCAGCATGGATCCCTCAGGATGCCCACCCGTGATCCATCCTCCCTCACTCTGTTCAGCATGGATCCCTCAGGATGCCCACCCGTGATCCATCCTCCCTCACTGTTCAGCATGGATCCCTCAGGATGCACACCCATGATCCATCCTCCCTCACTGTTCAGTATGGATCCCTCAGGATGCCCACCCATGATCCATCCTCCCTTGCTCTGTTCAGCATGGATCCCTCAGGATGCCCACCCATGATCCATCCTCCCATGCTCTGTTCAGCATGGATCCCTCATGACTCCCACCCGTGATCCATCCTCCCTCACTGTTCAGCATGGATCCCTCATGACTCTCACCCCTGATCCATCCTCCCTCACTGTTCAGCATGGATCCCTCAGGATTGTCACCCCTGATCCACCCTCCCTCGCTCCGTTCAGCATGGATCCCTCATGACTCTCACCCCTGATCCATCCTCCCTCACTGTCAGGCATGGATCCCTCATGACTCCCACCCATGATCCATCCTCCCTCACTCTGTTCAGCATGGATCCCTCAGGATCCCCACCCACGATCCACCCTCCCTCACTCTATTCAGCATGGATCCCTCATGACTCCCACCCGTGATCCACCCTCCCTCACTCTGCTCAGCATGGATCCCTCAGGATCCTCACCATGATCCATCCTCCCTCACTCTGTTCAGTATGGATCCCTCATGACTCCCACCTGTGATCCATCCTCCCTTGCTCTGTTCAGTATGGATCCCTCATGACTCCCACCTGTGATCCATCCTCCCTTGCTCTGTTCAGTATGGATCCCTCATGACTCCCACCTGTGATCCATCCTCCCTTGCTCTGTTCAGAGTGGATCCCTCAGGACCCCCACCCGTGATCCATCCTCCCTCACTCTGCTCAGCATGGATCCCTCAGGATGCCCACCCCATGATCCATCCTCCCTCACTGTTCAGCATGGATCCCTCATGACTCCCACCCATGATCCATCCTCCCTCACTGTTCAGCATGGATCCCTCATGACTCCCACCCATGATCCATCCTCCCTCACTCTGTTCAGCATGGATCCCTCAGGATGCCCACCCATGATCCATCCTCCCTTGCTCTGTTCAGCATGGATCCCTCAGGATGCCCACCCGTGGATCCATCCTCCCTCACTCTGTTCAGCATGGATCCCTCAGGATGCCCACCCCGTGATCCATCCTCCCTCACTGTTCAGCATGGATCCCTCAGGATGCCACACCCATGATCCATCCTCCCTCACTGTTCAGTATGGATCCCTCAGGATGCCCACCCATGATCCATCCTCCCTTGCTCTGTTCAGCATGGATCCCTCAGGATGCCCACCCATGATCCATCCTCCCATGCTCTGTTCAGCATGGATCCCTCATGACTCCCACCCGTGATCCATCCTCCCTCACTGTTCAGCATGGATCCCTCATGACTCTCACCCCTGATCCATCCTCCCTCACTGTTCAGCATGGATCCCTCAGGATTGTCACCCCTGATCCACCCTCCCTCGCTCCGTTCAGCATGGATCCTCATGACTCTCACCCCTGATCCATCCTCCCTCACTGTTCAGCATGGATCCCTCATGACTCCCACCCCTGATCCACCCTCCCTCACTGTTCAGCATGGATCCCTCATGACTCCCACCCCTGATCCACCCTCCCTCGCTCCGTTCAGCGTGGATCCCTCCGGATCCCCAGCCGTGCTCCCTCCTCCTCGCACCGCCTCAGCATTCCCCTCACTGATCCCTCCTCCCTGCCTCGCCTCCCTCGGGATTCCCTGCTGTGATCCCTCCCGGCAGCCATCTTCTCCCGGCCCCGCTTCCCGCCGGCTCTGCCTTCCCTTCCCAGCCTGCCCCGCGCGGCGCCGCCGCGATTCCCATTTCCCGACTCACCTCCTCCCGCATCTTCTTCACGGATTCCCCCTTCTGTGCCGGGAGAGAGAAGGGAAAAGGCGTCAGGGGCTGGGGGGGGCACCGGGAAGGAGGCGGGGGGGCAGGGATCGGGGCTTTGCTGCTCACTTACCTTCCCAATGATGCTTCCCACCTCCTGGCATGGAAACAAAAGCAGGAATTACTCAGTGCTTCCCAAACTCCGGGTGTTCCGAGCTTAAACAAATCCCTTCAGGAGCCCAAACGTGTTCCTCAGCGCCTCAGCCCCCCCCCCCCCCCAACTCAACTCTGCTCCCAAAGCTCCTGCCCTGCTTCCCAAAGCCGGGATTTTTATTGCTGCCCCAAGCCCTGCTGAGCTGCCCAGGAGGCAGCCAGGTGCCAAGACCGCATCCCGACATTCCCAAGCCCCGCAGCCAGCTCCAAGGCATCCAAGCGAGGCGGATTCGGTGCCGGGGCGGCCGGGACGGGGCATTCCCCCATCCCACAGGCACGTACCTTCCCGTGCATGAGCAGCCGGATGGTGAGCGTCACATTTAAACCTCCTTCAATGACCCCGGTGTCCATCTCGAGCCGGGCTTTGGTCACTGCTGAGCGGAGCTACAGGGAAGACAGGGGTGGATTGAGGGCTCGTCCCAACCCTTCCCTGCCGTTCCGGAGCCATCCCATGGGATTGGAGCCTCTCTGTGCCTCCTTCTCCTTCCTCAACACCCACCCCCCCCCACGGCGGGTGTGGGGATGCTCCTCTCCCCAGCGGCGATGGCAGAGCCTGATCCACAGCGATCCCGGCTCCTGCCTGGCATCTTCCCGGCCTCAATTCCACCCGGATCCAGCTCCAGTGGGGCCTCTCAGCCCCTGCCCTCCTCCAGAGGCTTCCCCAGCTCCAAAGAACTCCAAACCCTTCATCTAGACCAGGAGTTTTCCTCCCCCTGCACTAACAAACCCCCATTTCCTGCTGGCTTTACCCCATCTGGGGACGAGAAACCCGGAATTCCCAACTTTTCCCTGTGCCGGGAATGCTTTTCCAGCCCCGGGGCCGAGCTGCTTTACTCCAAGCAGATAAAGCCACATGAGCACACGATCAGGTTTCAACCGACGTGTGCCCCCCCCCCCCTTCCCCCGCTTGGAAAACACAGGGATCGGGCCCCAGTTGAACTGGGAATTCCATTAAACTTCCTACAGCCCCGGCTTCTCCTCCAGGCCTTGTTTACCCAAGCCCCAAGGATCCAGCGGGATCCAGCCCATCGTGCTCCGGGTTAACGCTCTTATTGAAGAGGGAACCACAGGCACAAACCGGGGCTCAACCTCCATAAACCCGGCCGGAATTCCCACTTTGGGAAGCGGCTCTCAGGAGCCGAGCCCGGCAGCCATAGGGGAAGAGGGAAGGAAGAGGTGAAGCCGGAGCTGGGCTGCTCAGGAGCATGGGAGCCGCGGATCCCGGTCCCATTCCCGGCCCGCTGCCCATGGGCATTGCTCGGTGATCCCGGCGCTTCCTTCCCATCCCAAAGCGCCGGGGGGGGGGGAGGCAAAGGGGGAAGCGGAGCCGCGGCGGGAGCCGGCGCTCTGATCCCGGCTTCCCTGCGGGAAAACGGCCCCCGAGCAGCTCCGTACCCGCTCCCGGGACCATAACTCTCCGGGACCATAACGGGGGGGGAAAGCAGAGGGAAGGCGGCTCCGATCCCGGCCTCCGAACCGGGACTGGGGGGGGGGGGGGGGAAGAAAGGGAACGGAACCGAGCCCCGAGCGCGGCCACATCCGGATGGCGGCGCTGAACCAGGCCGGGCCGTGGGGGGGGGGGGGGGGAACCGGGAAGTCCCGGAGCGGCTCAGGCCGGAGGGAACCGGAGCCGCAAACCGGGCCTGGGAGCGGGGAAGGGGAACAGACCCCCCCCCCGCGATGGCGGCAAAACCGGGCCCGGTGAGGAGAAAAAAATTCAAAATAACAATAAAAAAAGTGAAAAATGGAAAAAAGAAAAAAAAAGAAACAGTGGGAAAAAAAGCAAAATAAAACAAAAAAAAAAGGAAAAAATCACGGCCCCCCCCCCCCCCGCCCCCCCCCCGTCGGTACCGGTTGGGGGGGTTGGGGGGGGGGGGTCGCCGCCATGTGACGCACGAGCCCCCCCGGGCCGGTCTCCGCCGTGGGGAGGGGGGCGGGGGGGAGGTTACAGTGGGGGGAGGGGGCAGCGGCTGAGCCCCCCCCCCCTCCCCCCCCCAACCCCCACCGCGGGCGGCCCGGCCCCGCGCCGCGCACGCAGGCCGCGGCCTAGGTAGGCCGCGAGTAGGCCGCGCGTAGGCCGCGGTGTGCGGTGAGGGCGCGGCCGGGCGCCGCGAGGCGGGAGCGGCCGGAGCGGGGTACGCGAGGCCGAGGCTTCGTCGATGCGGCGGGAGAAGGGAGCGGATGGAGGGGGAAAGCGGGCAAACGGGGAGAGGAGACGGGATGGGGGTCGGGCCTACTGGAGCAGCGCCGGTAACGGCGGCGGGAGAAGGGCGCTGCGGGCGGAGCGGGAGCGGGAGGAGGAGGAGGAGGAAGAGAGAGAGGAGGAGGAGGGAGGGGAGGAGGGAGGGAAGGTGGGGGGGCGGCGGCGGGAGCGGCGGACGCGGCGGGAGCGGCGGCGCTGCTCGAGCTGCGGCGGCCGCGGCGGCTCTGGGCGGGGCGGCGGCGGCGGCGCGATTTACACCCGGCCCGACCCCGGAAACGGACGTACCAACGAGGCGAGGCGGGCGGGACAGAGCGGGCACCGAGCCCCGCCCCCAGCACCACCGAGACCGCGAGGGGAGAGGCAGAGCGGCAGCGGGGGAGCGGGGGCGCTGCGGCGGAGCGGAGGACTGAGGGGAGGGGCAAAGGGCAAGGAGAGGGGAGAGGGGGGCGATAACGGGGGCGATAACGGGTATAAAGAAGGCAGTAATGGGGTATAAAGGGGGCAATAGCAGGGTATAAGGGGGCAATAACGGGGTGTAAGGGGGCAATAACGGGGTGTAAGGAGGGCGATAATGTAGTATAAAGAAGGCAGTAATGGGGTATAAAGGGGGCAATAACGGGGTATAAGGGGGGCAATTAATGGGGTATAAGGAGGGCGATAGTGTAGTATAAAGAAGGTAATAATGGGGTATAACGGGCAATAGCGGGGTATAAAGGGGGCAATAATGGGGTATAAAGGGGGCAATAAGGGGGGCAATAACGGGGTGTAAAGACGGCAATAATGTAGTATAAAGAAGGCAGTAATGGGGTATAAAGGGGGGAATAACGGGGTATAAGTGGGGCAATAACGGGGTATAAGGAGGGCGATAGCATAGTATAAAGAAGGTAATAATGGGGTATAACGGGCAATAGCAGGTTATAAGGGGGCAATAATGGGGTATAAGGGGGCGATCACGGGGATATAAGGGGGGCAATAACGGTGTAAAAGAGAGCAATAATAGAGTATAAAGGGGCAATAATGGGGTATAAATGGGGCATTAGCAGGGTATAAGGGGGCAATAATGGGGTATAAGAGAGGCAATAACGGGGTGTAAAGAAGGCGATAATGTAGTATAAAGAAGGCAGTAATGGGGTATAAAGGGGGCAATAACAGGGTATAAGGAGGGCGATAGCATAGTATAAAGAAGGTAATGGGTATAAAAGGGGCAATAGCGGGGTATAAGGGGGCAATAATGGGGTATAAAGGGGGAAATAGCGGGGTAAACGCAGAGAAATAATGGAGTATAAAGGGGGCAAAAATGGGGTATAAAGAGCGCAATAGCGGGGTATAAGAGGGCAATAACAGGGTATAAGGACAGCAATAATGGAGTATAAAGGGGGCAATAACGGGGTATAAGGAGGGCAAAAACATAGTATAAAGAAGACAGTAATAGGGTATAAAGGGGGAATAGCAGGGTATAAGGGGGCAATAATGGGGTATAAAGGGGGGTGATAACAGATATAAGGGGCAATAATGTGGTATAAAGGGGGCGATAACAGGATATAAGGGGCAATAATGGGGTATAAAGGGGGCGATAACAGGATATAAGGCGGCAATAATGTAGTATAAAGAAGGCAGTAATGGGGTATAAAGGGGGGAATAGTGGGGTATAAGGGGGCAATAATGGTATAGGGGGCGATAACGGGATAGAAGAGGGGCAATAGCGGGGTATAAGGGGGGCGATAATGGGGTATAAAGGGGGCGATAATGTGGTATAAAGGGGGTGATAAGGGGATATAAGGGAGGTGATAACAGGGTATAAGGAGAGCAATACTGGGGTATAAAGGGAGCAATAGTGGGGTATAAAGGGGGCAATAACGGGATATAAGGGGGCAATAATGGGGTATAAGGAGGGCAATAAGGTAGTATAAAGAAGACAGTAATGGGGAATAAAGGGGGCAATATCAGGGTATAAGGGGGCAATAATGGGCTATAAGGGGGCAATAACGGGGTATGAAGGGCAATAACAGCGTATAAGGAGAGTGATAACGTAGTATAAAGAAGGCAATAATGGGGTATAAAGGGGGCAATAGCGGGGTATAAGGAGGGTGATAATGTAGTATAAAGAAGACAGTAATGGGGTATAAAGGGGACGATAACAGGATATAAGGGGGGAAATAATGGGATATGAAGGGGGCAATAACGGGGTATAAGGAGGGTGATAATATAGTATAAAGAAGACAGTAATGGGGTATAAAGGGGCAATAGTGGGGTATAAGGGGGCAATAATGGGGTATAAGGGGGCGATCACGGGATATAAGGGGGCAATAACGGTGTAAAAAGAGAGCAATAATAGAGTATAAAGGGGCAATAATGGGGTATAAATGGGGCATTAGCAGGGTATAAGGGGGCAATAATGGGGTATAAGAGAGGCAATAACGGGTGTAAGGGGGTAATAATAGGGTATAAGGGGGCAGGAAAATGACAATGGGGTAACGGGAGTAATGGGGACACGGGGGACTGCATGGGGGCAACAACAGGGGGCAAGAAGGGGGCAATTGGGGTCTGGAGGGGGACAATCATGGGGTATAAGGGGGGCAAGAAGAGGACAATGGGAGGTAGTGGGGGCATGAGGGGCTGGAGGTGGGGCAATAACGGGGGCAAGAAGGAAGCAGGGGGGCAGGTTGGGGGGCCACAGGGCAGGTTCCCCCCCTCCATGCTGACAGGGGCTGCATGTTTGTCCCCCCACCTCAATGGCACAAAGGAGACACTGACACAATGAGGGGGTCCCAGGGCTTTATTGGGGAACAGCGGGGGCACCCCAGCATCCCCCAGCACCCCCCAGCACCCAGGCCTGCCTGTGGGCTGAGGGGACGGGGGGGAGCACCAGGACATGGGAGGTCCTGGTTGGGCACGCGTGGTCATGGATGGACACAGGAGATCCCAGGGAGGTCCTGCTTGGCCATGGGTGGTCATGGATGCAGGTCCCACGTGGTCATGGATGCAGGTCCCATGTGGTCATGGATGCAGGTCCCACGTGGTCATGGGTGGTCATGGATGCAGGTCCCACGTGGTCATGGGTGGTCATGGATGCAGGTCCCACGTGGTCATGGGTGGTCATGGATGCAGGTCCCACATGGTCATGGATGCAGGTCCCACGTGGTCATGGATGCAGGTCCCACGTGGTCATGGATGCAGGTCCCATGTGGTCATGGATGCAGGTCCCACGTGGTCAGGGATGCAGGTCCCACATGGTCATGGGTGGTCATGGATGCAGGTCCCACGTGGTCATGGGTGGTCATGGATGCAGGTCCCACATGGTCATGGATGCAGGTCCCACATGGTCATGGATGCAGGTCCCACATGGCCATGGATGCAGGTCCCACGTGGTCATGGATGCAGGTCCCACGTGGTCATGGGTGGCCATGGATGCAGGTCCCACGTGGTCATGGGTGGCCATGGATGCAGGTCCCACGTGGTCAGGATGCAGGTCCCACGTGGTCATGGATGCAGGTCCCACGTGGTCATGGGTGGCCATGGATGCAGGTCCCACGTGGCCATGGATGCAGGTCCCACGTGGTCATGGATGCAGGTCCCACGTGGTCATGGGTGGTCATGGATGCAGGTCCCACGTGGTCACAGGTGGTCATGGATGCAGGTCCCACGTGGTCATGGGTGGCCATGGATGCAGGTCCCACATGGCCATGGGTGGTCATGGATGCAGGTCCCACGTGGTCATAGGTGGTCATGGGTGGCCATGGATACAGGTCCCACGTGGTCATGGATGCAGGTCCCACATGACCATGGGTGGTCATGGATGCAGGTCCCACGAGGCCATGGGTGGCCATGGATGCAGGTCCCACATGACCATGGGTGGCCATGGATGCAGGTCCCACGTGGTCACAGGTTGGTCACAGTTTCACACTGGTGGTCATGGGAGGTCTTCACAGTGATGGTCACGGGTGGTCACAGATGCTCATGGATGCTCCTAGTTGCTCACGGGTGGTCATGGTTGGACATGGGTGGTCATGGATGCAGGTCCCACATGGTCACGGGTGGTCATGGATGCAGGTCCCAGGTGGTCATGGATGGTTCTGTGTGGTCACGGGTGGACACAGAAGCTCATGGGTGGTCATGGTTGGACACGGGTGGTCATGCATGGTCATAGAAGCAGGTCCCATGAGGTCATGGGTGGTCATGGATGGTTCTGTGTGGTCACAGGTGGACACAGAAGCTCATGGGTGATCATGGTTGGACACGGGTGGTCATGCCTGGTCATGCATGGTCATGGATGCAGGTCCCACGTGGTCACGGGTGGTCATGGATGCAGGTCCCAGGTGGTCATGGATGGTTCTGTGTGGTCACGGGTGGACACAGAAGCTCATGGTGGTCATGGTTGGACACGGGTGGTCATGCATGGTCATAGAAGCAGGTCCCATGAGGTCATGGGTGGTCATGGATGGTTCTGTGTGGTCACAGGTGGACACAGAAGCTCATGGGTGATCATGGTTGGACATGGGTGGTCATGCATGGTCATGCATGGTCATGGATGCAGGTCCCACATGGTCACGGGTGGTCATGGACGCAGGTCCCAGGTGGTCATGGATGGTTCTGTGTGGTCACGGATGCACACAGAAGCTCATGGGTGGTCATGGTTGGACACGGGTGGTCATGCCTGGTCATGCATGGTCACAGAAGCAGGTCCCACGTGGTCACGGGTGGTCATGGATGCAGGTCCCAGGTGGCCACGGGTTGGTCACGGCTTCACGCTGGTGGTCATGGGAGGTCAGAGATGCTCCTGGGTGGTGCTGGCCACACGCTTGGTCACGCCTGGCCATGGACACGGGTGGTCCTGGGGGCTGGGGGCACACGGGATGGACACGGGGTGGTCATGGGGTGGTCATGGGGTGGCCACAGCAGGAGGTGGCCACTGGCCCCTGGTGGTGGCCTCAATCGGAGTCGCTGCTGGAGGAGGAGGAGGAGGACGAAGAGCGCTGGGGGGTGGGACGGGACAGGAGAGACGTGAGCACCCTGGGGACCCCCAAGTGCCCCCCACATGTGTGTGACCCCCCCCCATCACCTTGTGCCTCTTGTGAGCCTTCTTCATCTTCTTCTTCATCTTCTTCGCCGCCTTCTTGTCCAGCACAGGGGGGTAGAGGGGGGGGCACCCATGGTGGGGGGGCCGGGGGGGGGCATCCCAGGGTGGGGGGGGCACCCTGGGGGTCCCATTGGGCATGGGGGGGCCCACAATGGGGTGGGGGAGGCCCTGGGGGATACGGGGGGGTCCAGGGGGGTATGGGGGGTGCCCCGGTCCCCCGTGGGTGTGGGGGTGCCCCGGGGGGGGGGTGCATGGGGTTGGGAGGGGGGGATGGGGGGGGCACATGGGGTTTGGGGGGTACACGGGGGTTGGGGGGGGCGGCGGCCCTGGGGGGGGGGAGAGAGAAAAGTGAGGGGGGGACCCCAACCCCTTCACTGCCCGGGGGGGGCAGGAGGGGGGTCATGGGAGACCCCAAACCTGGGGTGTCCCCCCCTTTACCTGCACCCGGGTTCCACATGGAGGGGGCAGCTCCAGGACCTGGGGGGGCACAGGGTAAGTATGGGTGTGGGGTGCAAAGGGGGGATTTCGGGGTGCACGGGGGGGATTCGGGGTTCAGGGGGGTTGGGGTGCACCGGGGGTTATGGGGTGCAGGGGAAGAAATGGGGGTGCATGGGGTGGATATGGGGGTGCAGGGGGGTTGGGGTTGAGGATGGTTCTGGGGTGCATGGGGTGGATATGGGGGTGCAGGGGGGGTTGGGGTTGGGGCTGGTTCCGGGTGCATGGGGTGGATATGGGGGTGCAGGGGGGTTGGGGTTGAGGATGGTTCTGGGGTGCATGGGGTGGATATGGGGGTGCAGGGGGGGTTGGGGTTGGGGCTGGTTCCGGGGTGCATGGGGTGGATATGGGGGTGCAGGGGGGGTTGGGGTTGAGGATGGTTCTGGGGTGCATGGGGTGGATATGGGGGTGCAGGGGGGTTGGGGTTGAGGATGGTTCTGGGGTGCATGGGGTGGATATGGGGGTGCAGGGGGGTTGGGGTTGAGGATGGTTCTGGGGTGCATGGGGCAGATATGGGGGTGCAGGGGGGTTTGGGGTTGGGGCTGGTTCCGGGGTGCATGGGGTGGATATGGGGGTGCAGGAGGGGTTGTGGGGTGCATGGGGTGGATATGGGGGTGCACAGGGGGTTGTGGGGGTGCATGGGGTGGATGTGGGGGTTCAGGGGGGGTTGGGGCTGATTCTGGGGTGCAGGGGCGGATATAGGGGTGCAGGGGGGTTGGGGTTGAGGCTGGTTTTGCGATGCATGGGGCGGATATGGGGGTGCAGGGGGGTTTGGGGTTGGTTCTGGGGTACAGAGGGTGGATATGGGGCTGCAGGGGCGTTTGGGATTGGGGCTGGTTCTGGGGTGCAGGGGCAGATATTGGGGTGCAGGGGGGTCGGGGCTGGTTCTGGGGTGCAGGGGCGGATATGGGGGTGCTGGGGGGTTTGGGGTTGGATCTGGGGTGCATGGGGCAGATGTGGGGGTGCAGGGGGGTTGGGGCTGCTTCTGGGGTGCAGAGGGTGGATATGGGGGTGCAGGAGGGTTTGGGGTTGGGGCTGGGGTGAAGGGGGGATATTGGGGTGCAGGGGGGTTGGGGCTGATTCTGGGGTGCATGGGGTGGATATGGGGGTGCAGGGGGGTTTGGGGTTGGGGCTGGTTCTGGGGTGCAGGGGCAGATGTGGGGGTGCAGGGGGGGTTTGGGGCTGGGGGGGGGGCAGCTCCGTTCCCCACCTTCCGCCTTCGCTTCGACCTTGGCCCCTCCCGGCAGGAAGCGGGAGGGGGGCGGAGCTTCCCGCTGGTGGGCGGAGTGAGGGGCGGGGCTTGGCGCTGGCCCCGCCCCCGTCCCGGCTCGGTCTCCCCGCGCCAGGCGCTGCAGGCCCCGCTCGGCCGAGAGCCGCGCCTCGGGGTCCGGGTCCCCGCAGTCCTCGAGCAGCTCCGGCAGCGCCCCCCCGGGCTGCGGGACCCCCCCGGCCTCAGCGGGACCCCAACGGGGACCCCCGGGCACGGAACCCCTCAAATAGGGACCCCCCCAAAACAGGGACCCCCAAACAGGGACCCCACAAAACAGGGACCCCCAGAGCAGGGACCCCCCCCGAACAGGGACCCCCCAAACAAGGACTCCCCCAAAAAGGGACCCCTCCAAAACAGGGACCCCCCAGAGCAGGGACCCCTCCAAAACAGGGACCCCCCCCGAACAGGGGCCCCCCATAACACGGACCCCTCCCAAAACAGGGACCCCCAGAGCAACGACCCCCCCAAAACAGGGACCCCCCCGAACAGGGACCCCCCCCCAAAACAGGGACTCCCCCAAACGGACCCCCCTGAGCAGGGACCCCAAACAGGGACCCCCCCCAAAAAGGGAACCCCAAACAGGGACCCCCCTGAACATGAACCCCAGAGCAGGGACCCCCCCAAACAGGAACTCCCCCAAACAGGACCCCCCCCGAACAGGGGCCCCCCAAAACAGGGACCCCTCCCCAAACAGGGACCCCCAGAGCAATGACCCCCCCGAACAGGGCCCCCCCAAACAGGGCCCCCCCCAAAACAGGGATCCCCCCAAACAGGGACTCCCCCAAAGGGACCCCCCCGAAAAGGGACCCCCAAACAGGGACCCCCCTGAACATGAGCCCCAGAGCAGGGACCCTGCCAAACAGGGACCCCCCCCAAACAGGAACCCCCGAGCAGGGACCCCCCCATGCTGTGGGTCCCACAAACAGGGATACGATAACCCCCCCACCCCGAACAGGGGCACCCCCATGGCGGGGACCCCGCTGGTCACCCCATGGCACCCCCAAACACCCCTGGGGGGCTGGGTAGGGACTCCCCCATCATGGGCACCCCCAAACACCCCGGGCACCCCCAACACCCCCTGTGCACCCACACAGGGACTCCCCCATCATGGGCACCCCCAACACCCCGGGCACCCCCAAACACAAGGCCCCCCCATCACGGGCACCCCCAATACCCCGAACCCCCCCGGGCACCCCCAAACCCCCCCCGTGCACCCACACAGGGCCCCCCCCATCACGGACCCCCCTCCCCAATGGGCGCGGGCCGGGGCCGACCTGCGGGGTTCGGTGCCAGGCGGGGGGGATCAGCGGCCGGCGCCTCTCGTCCGCGGCCAAGCGGCGGAGCTGCGGCCCCGTGGGGCTGGAGCCCAGCTCGGCCTCGTAGGCGAGGCGGAAGGCGGGCACCGGGGCTCCTGCGGGGCCGGAGCGGGTGAAGGCGGGGAGGGGATGCGGGGCGGGGGATGCGGGGCAGAGGATGTGGGATGCAGGGATGCGGGGCGGGGGATGCGGGGATGCGGGGATGCAGGGCAGGGGATGCGGGGCAGGGGATGCAGGGCAGGGGATGCAGGATGCGGGGATGCAGGGCAGGTGATGTGGGGCAGGGGATGCAGGATGCGGGGCGGGGGATGTGGGGATGCGGGGCAGGGGGTGCGGGGCGGGGGATGCGGGATGCGGGGATGCAGGGCAGGGGATGCGGGGCAGGGGATGCAGGGCAGGGGATGCAGGATGCGGGGATGCGGGGCAGGGGATGCGGGGCGGGGACTGCAGGATGCAGGGATGCAGGGCAGGGGATGCAGGGCAGGGGATGGGGGACGGGGATGCGGGATGCGGGGATGTGGGGCGGGGGATGCAGGGCAGGGGATGCAGGGCAGGGAATGCGGGGAGGGGGATGCGGGGCAGGGGATGTAGGGTGGGGACTGCGGGATGCGGGGATGCAGGGCAGGGGATGCAGGGCAGGGGATGGGGGACGGGGATGCAGGATGCGGGGATGCGGGGCAGGGGATGCGGGGTGGGGGATGCAGGATGCGGGGATGCAGGGCAGGGGATGTAGGGTGGGGACTGAGGGATGCGGGGATGCGGGGTGGGGATGCGGGGCAGGGGATGTGGGATGCGGGCAGAGCATCCCCGTGCGCTCACCGGGGCTCAGGGCCTGGCAGCGGGACAGGATCTCCCAGAGCAGCAGCTCCAGCGCGTACACATCGGCCTGCAGCAGCGCCCGGCCCCAGGCGCGCAGGTCCGGGCTCTCGTCCAGGATCTCGGGGGCCAGGTACCGCTGCGTGCCCACCTGGAGCCGAGCAGAGCCCCCCCGGCCCGGCCCGGTCAGCACAGGGCGCTTCATGGGTACCGGGGCTCGGCTCTGTCCCTGTCATGTCCCCGGCCCCATCCCCATCCCTGGCCCCATCCTTGTTCTCATCCCATCATCCCAGTCCCTTCCCATCCCCACCCATGTCTCAATCCTATCCATGTCCCCATCCCATCCCCATCCCTGTCTCAATTCTATCCCTGTCCCCATCTCCATGTCCATCGGCATCCCCATCTCCATCCCCATTCCTATCTCAATTCTGTCCCTGTCCCCATCTCCATCCCTGTCCCCATCTCCATTCCCATCCCTGTCTCAATCCTATACCTGTCCCCATCTCCAGCTCCATCTGCATCCCCATCTCTATCCCCATCCCTGTCCCCATCCTTACTCCCATCCTACCTCCATCCCCATTAGCATCCCATCCTCATCACCTTTCCATCCCCATCCCTGTCTCAATCCTACCCCTGTCCCCATCTCCATCTGCATTCCCATCTCCATCCCCATCCCATCCCTGTCTCAACCCTATCCCCGTCCTCATCCTCATCCCTGACTCCACCCCATCACATCCCCATCTCTATCCCCATCCCCATCCCACCCCCATCCCTGTCTGTGTCCCATCCCTGTCCCTGTCCTTGTTCCCATCTAGTCTCCATCCCCATCCGTGTCTGCATCCCATCCCTGTCCCCATCCCTGTTCCCATCCACTGTTCATCCCTATCCCTGTCCCCTCCCTGTTCCCATCCACTCTCCATCCCCATCCCTGTCTCAACGCTATCCCTGTCCCCGTCCCTGTTCCCATCCACTCTGCATCCCCATCCCTGTCTGCATCCCATTCCTGTCCCCATCCCTGTTCCCATCCACTCTGCATCCCCATCCCTGTCTGCATCCCATTCCTGTCCCCATCCCTGTTCCCATCCACTCTCCATCCCCACCCCTCTCCATCCCTGTTCCCATTCACTCTCCATCCCCACCCCTGTCTCCATCCCCATCCCTGTTCCCATCCACTCTCCATCCCCACCCCTCTCCATCCCTGTTCCCATTCACTCTCCATCCCCACCCCTGTCTCCATCCCCATCCCTGTTCCCATCCACTCTCCATCCCCATCCCTGTCTCCATCCCCATCCCTGTTCCCATCCAGTCTCCATCCCCATCCCTGTCTGCATCCCATCCCTGTTCCCATCCCTGTTCCCATCCACTCTCCATCCTCATCCCTGTCTGCATCCCATCCCTGTCCCCATCCCTGTTCCCATCCACTCTCCATCCCCATCCCTGTCCCCATCCCTGTTCCCATCCACTCTCCATCCTCACCCCACTCTCCATTCCCATCCCCATCCCCATCCCTGTTCCCATCCACTCTCCATTCCCATCCCTGTCCCCATCCCTGTTCTCATCCACTCTCCATCCCCACCCCAGTCTCCATCCCCATCCCCATCCCTGTTCCCACCCCAGTCTCCATCCCTGTTCCCATCTCCATCCCCATCCCTGTCTCAACGCTATCCCTGTCCCGATCCCTGTCCCCATCCCAGTCTCCATCTCCATCCCCCATCCCCATCTCCGTCCCCATCCCTGTCCCCATCTCCATCCCCATCCCTGTCCCCATCCCCATCCCCATCCCCATCTCCATCCCCATCCCCGTCCCCATCCCTGTCCCCATCTCCATCCCCATCCCCATCCCCATCCCCATCTCCATCCCCATCCCCGTCCCCATCCCTGTCCCCATCTCCATCCCCATCCCTGTCCCCATCCCCATCTCCATCCCCATCCCCATCCCCGTCCCCATCCCTGTCCCCATCTCCATCCCCATCCCTGTCCCCATCCCCATCCCCATCCCCATCTCCATCCCCATCCCCGTCCCCACATCCCCATCCCCATCCCTGTTCCCATCCCCATCCCCATCCCCACCCCACCCCACGCCATCACCTTGCGGATGGGTCCCCCCCGTGGGGCCGCGGCTCCCCCCTGCACCCGCGGCGGCAGCGGCAGCTCCGGCCCGAGGTCACCGATGGCGCAGGTGCCGCGGTCCCGCAGCAGCGCGTTCTGGTCCCGCTGAACCACGCTGGGCTTGGAGAGACCTGGGGGGGGGGGCACGGGGGTGACGCAGGGGGTGCGGGGGGACGGGACCCCCATGGGGTGCTCCGGGGCTCACCGGGGCGCCGCAGCTCCCGGTGCAGGGGGGCCAAGCCCCGAGGCAGGGACAGCGCCAGGCGCACAATGCCCGGCCCGGGACCAACGGGGTGAGCCAGGAAGTGCCGCAGGGAGCCCTGGGGTGCGGGGGACACATGGACATACATGGACATACATGGACATACATGGACATACATGGACATACATGGACATACATGGACATACATGGGGACATACATGGACATACATGGACATACATGGACATACATGGGGACACACATGGGGACATACATGGACATACATGGACATACATGGACATACATGGACATACATGGACACACATGGACATACATGGACATACATGGACATACATGGACACACATGGACATACATGGACATACATGGACATACATGGACACATGGGGACACATGGACATACATGGACATACATGGACACACATGGACATACATGGGGACACACATGGGGACACATGGACATACATGGACATACATGGACATACATGGACATACATGGACACACATGGACATACATGGGGACACATGGACATACATGGACATACATGGGGACACACACACAACATGTGGGGACACACATGGGGACACACATGGGGACACACATGGGGACACATGGACATACATGGACATACATGGACATACATGGACATACATGGGGACACATGGACATACATGGACATACATGGACATACATGGGGACACATGGACATACATGGACATACATGGACATACATGGGGACACATGGACATACATGGACATACATGGGGACACATGGACATACATGGACATACATGGGGACACATGGACATACATGGACATACATGGACATACATGGGGACACATGGGGACATACATGGACATACATGGGGACACACATGGACACACATGGACATACATGGACATACATGGACACACATGGGGACACACATGGACACACATGGACATACATGGACATACATGGACACACATGGGGACACATGGACATACATGGACATACATGGACACACATGGGGACACACATGGACACACATGGACATACATGGACATACATGGACACACATGGACACACATGGACATACATGGACATACATGGACACACATGGGGACACACATGGACACACATGGACATACATGGACATACATGGGGACACACATGGGGACACACATGGACATACATGGACATACATGGACACACATGGGGACACACATGGACATACATGGACATACATGGGGACACACATGGGGACACACATGGACATACATGGACATACATGGGGACACACATGGGGACACACATGGACATACATGGACATACATGGGGACACACACACAACATGTGGGGACACACATGGGGACACACATGGGGACACATGGGGACACACATGGGGACACACATGGGGACACACATGGGGACACACATGAGGACACACATGGGGACACACATGGGGACACACATGGGGACACACATGGGGACACATGGGGACACACATGGGGACACATGGGGACACACATGGGGACACACATGGGGACACACATGGGGACACACATGGGGACACACATGGACATACATGGGGACACACATGGGGACACAACATGGGGACACACATGGGGACACACATGGGGACACACATGGGGACACATGGGGACACACATGGGGACACATGGGGACACACATGGGGACACACATGGGGACACACATGGGGACACACATGGGGACACACATGGACATACATGGGGACACACATGGGGACACATGGGGACACACATGGGGACACACATGGGGACACACATGAGGACACACATGGGGACACACATGAGGACACACATGGGGACACATGGGGACACACATGGGGACACATGGGGACACACATGGGGACACACATGGGGACACACATGGGGACACACATGGGGACACAACATGGGGACACACATGGGGACACACATGGGGACACACATGGGGACACATGGGGACACACATGGGGACACACATGGGGACACATGGGGACACACATGGGGACACACATGAGGACACACATGGGGACACATGGGGACACACATGGGGACACACATGGGGACACACATGAGGACACACATGGGGACACATGGGGACACACATGGGGACACATGGGGACACACATGGGGACACACATGGGGACACACATGGGGACACACATGGGGACACAACATGGGGACACACATGGGGACACACATGGGGACACATGGGGACACACATGGGGACACACATGGGGACACACATGGACACACATGGGGACACACATGAGGACACACATGGGGACACACATGGGGACACAACATGGGGACACACATGGGGACACACATGGGGACACACATGGGGACACAACATGGGGACACACATGGGGACACATGGGGACACACATGAGGACACACATGGGGACACACATGGACACACATGGGGACACACATGAGGACACACATGGGGACACACATGGGGACACAACATGGGGACACACATGGGGACACACATGGGGACACACATGGGGACACAACATGGGGACACACATGGGGACACATGGGGACACACATGAGGACACACATGGGGACACACATGGACACACATGGGGACACACATGAGGACACACATGGGGACACACATGGGGACACACATGGGGACACAACATGGGGACACACATGGGGACACACATGGGGACACACATGGACATACATGGGGACACACATGGGGACACATGGGGACACACATGAGGACACACATGGGGACACAACATGGGGACACACATGGGGACACACATGGGGACACATGGGGACACACATGAGGACACACATGGGGACACACATGGGGACACACATGGGGACACACATGGGGACACACATGGGGACACAACATGGGGACACACATGGGGACACACATGGGGACACACATGGGGACACATGGGGACACACATGGGGACACACATGGGGACACACATGGACACACATGGGGACACACATGGGGACACACATGGGGACACACATGGGGACACACATGGGGACACACATGGGGACACAACATGGGGACACACATGGGGACACACATGGGGACACACATGGGGACACACATGGGGACACACATGGGGACACACATGGGGACACAACATGGGGACACACATGGGGACACACATGGGGACACACATGGGGACACATGGGGACACACATGGGGACACACATGGGGACACATGGGGACACACATGGGGACACACATGGGGACACACATGGACACACATGGGGACACACATGAGGACACACATGGGGACACACATGGGGACACAACATGGGGACACACATGGGGACACACATGGGGACACACATGGGGACACACATGGGGACACATGGGGACACACATGAGGACACACATGGGGACACACATGGACACACATGGGGACACACATGGGGACACAACATGGGGACACACATGGGGACACACATGGGGACACACATGGGGACACAACATGGGGACACACATGGGGACACATGGGGACACACATGAGGACACACATGGGGACACACATGGACACACATGGGGACACACATGAGGACACACATGGGGACACACATGGGGACACACATGGGGACACAACATGGGGACACACATGGGGACACACATGGGGACACACATGGACATACATGGGGACACACATGGGGACACATGGGGACACACATGAGGACACACATGGGGACACAACATGGGGACACACATGGGGACACACATGGGGACACATGGGGACACACATGAGGACACACATGGGGACACACATGGGGACACACATGGGGACACACATGGGGACACACATGGGGACACAACATGGGGACACACATGGGGACACACATGGGGACACACATGGGGACACATGGGGACACACATGGGGACACACATGGGGACACACATGGGGACACAACATGGGGACACACATGGGGACACACATGGGGACACACATGGGGACACACATGGGGACACACATGGACATACATGGGGACACACATGGGGACACATGGGGACACACATGAGGACACACATGGGGACACAACATGGGGACACACATGGGGACACACATGGGGACACACATGGACATACATGGGGACACACATGGGGACACATGGGGACACACATGAGGACACACATGGGGACACATGGGGACACACATGGGGACACAACATGGGGACACACATGGGGACACACATGGGGACACACATGGACATACATGGGGACACACATGGGGACATATGGGGACACACATGAGGACACACATGGGGACACAACATGGGGACACACATGGGGACACACATGGGGACACATGGGGACACACATGAGGACACACATGGGGACACACATGGGGACACACATGGGGACACAACATGGGGACACACATGGGGACACATGGGGACACACATGGGGACACACATGGGGACACACATGGACACACATGGGGACACACATGGGGACACACATGGGGACACAACATGGGGACACACATGGGGACACACATGGGGACACACATGGGGACACATGGGGACACACATGGGGACACACATGGGGACACACATGGACACACATGGGGACACACATGAGGACACACATGGGGACACACATGGGGACACAACATGGGGACACACATGGGGACACACATGGGGACACACATGGGGACACAACATGGGGACACACATGGGGACACACATGGGGACACACATGGGGACACAACATGGGGACACACATGGGGACACACATGGGGACACACATGGACATACATGGGGACACACATGGGGACACATGGGGACACACATGAGGACACACATGGGGACACAACATGGGGACACACATGGGGACACACATGGGGACACACATGGACATACATGGGGACACACATGGGGACACATGGGGACACACATGAGGACACACATGGGGACACAACATGGGGACACACATGGGGACACACATGGGGACACACATGGGGACACACATGGGGACACATGGGGACACACATGGGGACACACATGGGGACACACATGGACATACATGGGGACACACATGGGGACACATGGGGACACACATGAGGACACACATGGGGACACACATGGGGACACACATGAGGACACATGGGGACACACATGGGGACACACATGGGGACACACATGGGGACACACATGGGGACACACATGAGGACACATGGGGACACACATGGGGACACACATGAGGACACATGAGGACACACATGGGGACACACATGGGGACACACATGAGGACACATGTGTTGGTGTGTGATGGCCATGGGCAGCCACAGTGGCTTTGGCACACGTGTGTGCACCCTGAACAGCACCAGCACCCCATGTGCACCCCATGTGCACCCATGTGACCCCACAGCACCCCATGTACACCTCATGTACACCCATGTCCACCCATAGCATCCCCAGCACCCCATGTCCACCCACAGCACCCATGTGCACCCCATGCACACCCCATGTCCACCCCCAGCACCCCATGTCCACCCACAGCACCCACAGCACCCCATGTCCACCCACAGCACCCACAGCACCCATGTGCACCCCATGTCCACCCCATGTCCACCCCCAGCACCCCCAGCACCCCATGTCCACCCACAGCACCCACAGCACCCATGTGCACCCAGAGCACGCCATGCACACCCCTAGCACCCATGTGCACCCCCAGCACCCCCAGCACCCCATGTCCACCCCAGCACCCCATGCACCCCGTGTCCACCCCCAGCACCCCATGCACACCCCACGTGCACCCCTGTGCACCCTCAGCACCCATGTCCACCCCCAGCACCCCTAGCACCCATGTGCACCCAGAGCACCCCATGTGCACCCCATGTGCACCCCATGCACCCATGTCCACCCCAGCACCCCCAGCACCCCATGTCCACCCCTAGCACCCATAGCACCCATGTGCACCCAGAGCACCCCCAGCACCCCCAGCACCCCCAGCACCCCCAGCACCCCATGCACCCCATGCACCCCCCATGTCCCCCCCCGTCCACCCGCCCCCCCTCTCGCGCTCACCGCTGGCCGCGGCTCCATCTCGAGGTTTCCCCCCCGCAGCCGCGCCGGGTTCCGGGGCCCCGCGAGCGGCAGCGCCGGCCCCGAGCGCTCCCCCGAGACCGGGAGGTGCCGCGCGGAGCCCGGCCACAGAGAGGGGAAACGGCCCCGGGGGAGCCCCTGCGGGAGGGGACGGGGAGCTGGGGGGAGGGAGCTGGGGGGAGCCATGGGGAGAGCTATGGGGGAGCTATGGGGAGAGAGCTATGGGGAGAGAGCTATGGGGGAGCTATGGGGAGCTATGGGGAGCTATGGGGAGCTATGGGGAACTGTAGGGGAGCTATGGGGAGCTATGGGGAGAGCTATGGGGGAGCTATGGGGAGAGAGCTATGGGGAGAGCTATGGGGAGAGAGCTATGGGGAGAGCTATGGGGGAGCTATGGGGAGAGAGCTATGGGGAGAGCTATGGGGAGAGCTATGGGGAGAGCTATGGGGAGAGAGCTATGGGGAGAGCTATGGGGGAGCTATGGGGAGCTGTGGGGAGAGAGCTATGGGGAGAGCTATGGGGAGAGAGCTATGGGGAGAGCTATGGGGAGAGAGCTATGGGGAGAGAGCTATGGGGAGCTATGGGGAGAGAGCTATGGGGAGCTATGGGGAGCTATGGGGAGAGAGCTATGGGGAGAGAGCTATGGGGAGAGAGCTATGGGGAGCTATGGGGAGCTATGGGGAGAGCTATGGGGAACTGTAGGGGAGCTATGGGGAGCTATGGGGAGAGAGCTATGGGGAGAGAGCTATGGGGAGAGCTATGGGGGAGCTATGGGGAGAGAGCTATGGGGAGAGAGCTATGGGGAGAGAGCTATGGGGAGAGAGCTATGGGGAGAGCTATGGGGGAGCTATGGGGAGAGAGCTATGGGGAGAGCTATGGGGAGAGCTATGGGGAGAGCTATGGGGAGAGAGCTATGGGGAGAGCTATGGGGAGAGAGCTATGGGGAGAGCTATGGGGAGAGAGCTATGGGGAGAGCTATGGGGGAGCTATGGGGAGCTATGGGGAGAGAGCTATGGGGAGAGCTATGGGGAGAGCTATGGGGAGCTATGGGGAGAGAGCTATGGGGAGAGCTATGGGGGAGCTATGGGGAGAGAGCTATGGGGAGAGAGCTATGGGGAGAGAGCTATGGGGAGAGAGCTATGGGGAGAGCTATGGGGGAGCTATGGGGAGAGAGCTATGGGGAGAGCTATGGGGAGAGCTATGGGGAGAGCTATGGGGAGAGAGCTATGGGGAGAGCTATGGGGAGAGAGCTATGGGGAGAGCTATGGGGAGAGAGCTATGGGGAGAGAGCTATGGGGAGCTATGGGGAGAGAGCTATGGGGAGCTATGGGGAGCTATGGGGAGAGAGCTATGGGGAGAGAGCTATGGGGAGAGAGCTATGGGGAGCTATGGGGAGCTATGGGGAGAGCTATGGGGAACTGTAGGGGAGCTATGGGGAGCTATGGGGAGAGAGCTATGGGGAGAGAGCTATGGGGAGAGCTATGGGGGAGCTATGGGGAGAGAGCTATGGGGAGAGAGCTATGGGGAGAGAGCTATGGGGAGAGAGCTATGGGGAGAGCTATGGGGGAGCTATGGGGAGAGAGCTATGGGGAGAGCTATGGGGAGAGCTATGGGGAGAGCTATGGGGAGAGAGCTATGGGGAGAGCTATGGGGAGAGAGCTATGGGGAGAGCTATGGGGAGAGAGCTATGGGGAGAGCTATGGGGGAGCTATGGGGAGCTATGGGGAGAGAGCTATGGGGAGAGCTATGGGGAGAGCTATGGGGAGCTATGGGGAGAGAGCTATGGGGAGAGCTATGGGGAGAGCTATGGGGAGCTATGGGGAGCTATGGGGAACTGTAGGGGAGCTATGGGGAGCTATGGGGAGAGCTATGGGGAGAGCTATGGGGAGCTGTGGGGGAGCCGTGGGGAGCTATGGGGAACTGTAGGGGAGCTATGGGGAGCTATGGGGAGAGCTATGGGGAGAGCTATGGGGAGCTGTGGGGGAGCCGTGGGGAGCTATGGGGAGCTGTGGGGGAGCCGTGGGGAGCTATGGGGAGCTGTGGGGGAGCCGTGGGGAGCTATGGGGAGCTGTGGGGGAGCCGTGGGGAGCTATGGGGAGCTATGCGGGAGCCATGGGGGGAGCCATAGGGACAGGGCAATAATGGGGAGCAATAGGGACAGAGGAGCCACAGGGACAGTGCAGCCATGGGGCGGGATAGTGCAGTAATGGGGGGACAGTGAAGCCATGGGGCAGGACAGTGCAGTAATGGGGGGGGTACAGTGCAGCTATGGGGCGGGACAGTGCAGTAATGGGGGGACAGTGAAGCCATGGGGCAGGACAGTGCAGTAATGGGGGGACAGTGAAGCCATGGGGCAGGACAGTGCAGTAATGGGGGGACAGTGCAGCTATGGGTCGGGACAGTGCAGTAATGGGGGGACAGTGAAGCCATGGGGCAGGACAGTGCAGTAATGGAGGGGGGGGACAGTGCAGCCATGGGGCGGGACAGTGCAGTAATGGGGGGACAGTGAAGCCATGGGGCGGGACAGTGCAGTAATGGGGGGACAGTGCAGCTATGGGGTGGGACAGTGCAGTAATGGGGGGACAGTGCAGCCATGGGGCGGGACAGTGCAGTAATGGGGGGACAGTGAAGCCATGGGGCGGGACAGTGCAGTAATGGGGGGACAGTGCAGCTATGGGGCGGGACAGTGCAGTAATGGGGGGACAGTGAAGCCATGGGGCGGGACAGTGCAGTAATGGGGGGACAGTGAAGCCATGGGGCGGGACAGTGCAGTAATGGGGGGACAGTGCAGCTATGGGGCGGGACAGTGCAGTAATGGAGGGGGGGACAGTGCAGCCATGGGGCGGGACAGTGCAGTAATGGAGGGGGGGGACAGTGCAGCCATGGGGCGGGACAGTGCAGTAATGGGGGGACAGTGCAGCCATGGGGCGGGACAGCGCCCCCGGGGGGAGCAATGGGGACAGGGCAGTAAGGGGGGACAGCGCCCCCGAGTGGCACCGAGCAGCAGCGACCCAGGGACAGGGACAGGGACCCGAGGGTGGGCTCCCATGAACCCCCATGGCCCCATAGACCGGGACAGGGAACCATAGAGAGCGACAGGGACCCACAGCACCCGCACACCCCATAGCACCGGGACAAGGACCCCCACAAACAGCGCCCCATAGACCGGGACAAGGACCCCCCACCATTGGGTGCCACCCCCCCCTTGGGTGCCCCTCCATGGGTGCCCACCCCAACCATTGGGTGCCCCCCCCATGGGTGCCCCCCCCCACCATTGGGTGCCCTCCCCCCCCCATGGGTGCTCCCCCCATGGGTTCCCACCCCCACCATTGGGTGCCACCCCCCACCATTGGGTGCCCCCACCCATGGGTGCCCCCCCTCACCATTGGGTGCCCCCCCCATGGGTGCCCCCCCTTCACCATTGGGGGCCCACCCCCCGGCTGCCCCCCCCACCATTGGGTGCCCTCCCCCCCCCCATGGGTGCTCCCCCCATGGGTTCCCACCCCCCCCATTGGGTGCCCCCCCACATGGGTGCCCCCCTCACCATTGGGTGCCCCCCCCATGGGTGCCCCCCCTCACCATTGGGTGCCCCCCCCATGGGTGCCACCCCTCACCATTGGGTGCCTCCCCCCCATGGGTGCCACCCCCCACCATTGGGTGCCCCCCCCCCCATATGGGTGCCTCCCTCACCATTGGGTGCCCCCCCCCCCATGGGTGCCCCCCTCACCATTGGGTGCCCCCCCATGGGTGCCCCCCCCACCATTGGGTGCCCTCCCCCCCCCCATGGGTGCCCCCCACCTTCAGGAAGCTCAGCGCAGGCAGCTCCGGGCTGGGGGGCTCGGGGGGGGCCCCGCTCCCCCCCCGACGTGGCCGCCCCCTGCGGGCCCTGGCCCGGCTCAGCCCTGGAACGGGGACGTGTGGGGCACGGGGACCCCCCCCGGGACCCCCATAACGCGGGAGCGGGGGACCCCCAGGAGCCCCCCATTGGGGACAAGGGGGGGGGGGCTGTGCCCGGGGGTCCCCATGTGTCCCCCCCCCATCCCCTGTGCCCCCCATCCCTACCGAGGACGCAGAGGCAGGCGAGGAGGAGCAGGAGGGGGCCGGCGCCCCACAGCCACAGCGCCCCCGCGCGGCCGGGCCCTGGGTGACGCCGGGTCCTCAGCCCCATAGAGGTGCCCCATAGATGCCACGGGCCCCACAGCCCCCCCATGGGCCCCACAGCCCCCCATGGGCCCCACAGCCCCCTAGAGGTCCCAGCACCAACCCCCCATAGACCCCCCCGCCGGGTCTCCCACATCCCAGAGGTTCCCTATAGGTCCCCTCTCCCTCCCCATGGGTCCCTTATGGGCCCCATATCCCACCCCTAGGGGACCCCTAAGGGTCCCAAGCCACCCCCAATGGGTCCACTGAGGGTCCCAGGGTCCTCCCCAAGTGACCCCAGTGGCTCCCATCCCCTGCACCCCATTACCCCCATTGCCCCCATTACCCTCATCCCATTACCCCCATTGCCCCCATTGCACCATTTCCCCCATTACCCTCTTTACCCCCATTGCCCCCCATTGCCCCCTTTTGCACCCATTACCCCATTGTCCCCCATTCCCATTACCCCCATTACCCCCCATTGCTCTTCTTTGCAACCACTACCCTATTCCCCCATTACCCCCATTAGCCCATTAAGCCATTACTCCCATTCCCCCATTACCCCATAAGCCTCATTCCCCTTCCCCTATTCGCCCCATTCCCCCCATTCCCCCCATTACCCCCCATTAGCCCATTCCCCCATTCCCCCCCATTGCCCCCCATTAACCCATTACCCCATAACCCCCTTCCCCCATTCCCCCATTTCTCCATTCCCCCCATTCCCCCATTCCCTCATTCCCCCCATCCCCCCATTCCCCCCATTCCCCCATTCCCCCATTACCCCCATTACCCCATAACCCCATCGACCCCATTACCCCGATTACCCCCATCCCCCCCATCCCCCCCGTTACCCTCATTACCCCATAACCCCATCGCCCCCATTCCCCCATCCCCCCCATTCCCCCATCCCCCCCATTACCCCATTACCCCCATTCCCCCATTACCCCATCCCCCCATTACCCCCATTACCCCGATTACCCCATTCCCCCATTACCCCATAGCCCCCTTCCCCCATTCCATCTCCCCATTACCCCGATTCCCCCCATTCTCCCATCCCCCCCATTCCCCATCCCCCCCCTTACCCCCATTACCCCATAAACCCATCACCCCCATTACCCCCATCCCCCCCATTCCCCCCATTCCCCCCATTACCCCATAGCCCCCTTACCCCCATTACCCCATTACCCCATAACCCCGATTACCCCCATCCCCCCGTTACCCCATTGCCCCCATCCCCCCGTACCTGCTCCGTCCCTTCCCGCGCCCCCCTCGCTCCCGTTCCCGTTCCCGTTCCCGTTGCAGAGCTCTCCCCGGCACAGGCACACGAGGACGGCGCCGCCCGGGGGCCCCGCGGGGCTGGGGGCGCACAGCGGGGAGGGGCAGGAGCGCCCCCGCCCCCCCAGCAGCCTGCGGGACCCACGGAGACCCATAGGGACACATAGGGACACATAGGGACCCATGGAGACACATAGGGACACATAGGGACACATAGAGACACATAGAGACACATAGAGACACATAGGGACACATAGAGACACATAGAGACACATAGAGACACATAGGGACACATGGAGACACATAGAGACACATAGGGACACATGGAGACACATAGAGACACATAGGGACACATAGAGACACATAGGGACACATAGAGACACATAGGGACACATGGAGACACATAGAGACACATAGGGACACATGGAGACACATAGGGACACATAGGGACACATAGAGACACATAGAGACACATAGAGACACATAGGGACACATGGAGACACATAGAGACACATAGGGACACATAGAGACACATAGAGACACATAGGGACACATAGAGACACATAGGGACACATAGGGACACATAGAGACACATAGGGACACATAGAGACCCATAGGGACACAGAGGGACCCATAGGGACACATAGGGACACATAGAGACACATAGGGACACATAGGGACACATAGAGACACATAGGGACACATAGAGACACATAGAGACACATAGAGACACATAGGGACACATAGAGACACATAGAGACACATAGGGACACATAGAGACACATAGGGACACATAGAGACACATAGAGACACATAGGGACACATAGAGACACATAGAGACACATAGAGACACATAGAGACACATAGAGACACATAGGGACACATAGGGACACATAGAGACACATAGAGACACATAGGGACACATAGAGACACATAGGGACACATAGGGACACATAGGGACACATAGAGACACATAGAGACACATAGAGACACATAGAGACACATAGGGACACAGAGGGACCCATAGGGACACATAGGGAACCATAGGGACACATAGGGACACATAGAGACACATAGGGAACCATAGAGACACATAGGGACACATAGAGACACATAGAGACACATAGAGACACATAGGGACACATAGAGACACATAGGGACACAGAGGGACCCATAGGGACCCATAGGGAACCATAGGGACACATAGAGACCCATAGAGACCCATAGGGACACACAGAGAGCCAGAGGGACCCATAGGGACACAGAGGGACCCATAGGGACACACAGGGTCACAAGGGGACCTACAGGGACCCCCTGGGACACACAGGGACCCACCGGGACCCACCGAGACCCACCGGGACCCACAGAAACACACCGAGACCCCCAGGGAACCACCGGGACCCATAGGGACACACCGAGACCCACAGCGACCCCCCGAGGGAACCCCAGGGACCCCCCTGAATCGGGACCCCCCCAGACCTACCCGTGGACACATCCAGGACCCCCTTACCCTCCCCCCCCCCGGACCCCCAGGACCCCCCTCTCCGTGTCCCCCCCCTCAGAACCCCCCCATCGAGGCCCCCTTCATTCCCCCCCCCCATTCCCGGCCCCACTGCTCAAGGCCAAGGTCAGGTCCTGGCAGCAGCAGCCGCGAATGGAACCGGGGGGGGGGGGGGGGGGTGTGGTTCCCATCCCTAAAACTGCCCCCCCCCAAGGCCGGATCAGCCCCAACCCCCCCCATAGGGCAGAATCGGGCCCTCCCCACACATAGGGCAGGATCGGGCCCCCCCCACCCCCCCCCACCCCATAGGGCAGGATCGGGCCCTCCCCCCCCCATAGGGCAGGATCCGCCCCCCATAGGGCAGGATCGGGTGTGTGTCCCCCCCATAGGGCAGGATCGGGCCCTCGCCCCCCATAGGGCAGGATTCCCCCCCGTAGGGCAGGATCGGGCCCTCACCA